ACTTCAGCCCGTGACTAAAATGCCCAAAAGCCACTGTTGTTAACTACAGCACGTGACTAAATCGCCATAAAGTCACAGCTTGTCAATGTAGTAGTAGATAAAATATCATTATTACAATTTGATAGTTAAATTTATTAAATGCAAAATGTATATCAATATTCTTTTCTTGAAGTGACAAAAAATAAATGTTCCTTCAAATTTCGAATTATCCTAATATGTACCACAAATACGAAATTTTGAGTTTTGGTAAAAAAGTTACTTAAAATTTATTTGTGTATTTGGACGATTTTTTAATGAAAAAACCCTAAAGTTTAATATTATAAATAATACTTAATAATCCACTTAGTCAGAATTTTCATTAAAAAAATAACTATTATATTTAAATATATAAGATTGAATATAATAAAACAGTACTTAAAGCTTAACCTTTGAGATACTGTTATATTTTATTTTCTTATGTAAAATAGATTACACCGAAATTGTTGACTAGATAATTAGTTGTATAAAAATGATAAAAAAAATTATATCCGATTAAAATTAAAGTGCTTAAAAATTGTACACAAAGTATTTTATTAACAAATACTTTGTATTGTGCGTGCACGAAATGTTTTCGTATTTTACACGAATTAATTTGGAATGCGCCCTAAAACCATTACATTGAAATTTTGAGCAATGAAGCACCAGAACACCAATAAATAATAATGTGCGTGTTCGCTAAAATAACTTTATTTTTAGAGACTTTTAAAGTTTTACGGCGATTGCGTGTCGAAAAAGAAAGCAGTCAGTTTTTTAATATCATGTCATTTGACAAATTTAAATAATACAAAATATACACTACGTACTATTTTTATTTAAATTAATTATTCCTAATAAAATTACTGTTTTATTAAGTATGACTAATTTAATTAAAGGGTCCTTCGTATTGTCTAATGTAATATTAATTTGGCTTACTTAATTCAATTTGATATTCTCTTAATATGCCTTGTTAGTATCCGATGACTTGCAAACTAAATTTTGTACGGTTTTCAAATGATTTGTAATTTTTTGTCAAATTTAATCGGTAATTAAATAAAAAACTGTAAAATGAACTTTAGATAACGGAATAAAAACTTGCTTTTAATGATAAAAAATTGGTATTGTGCAAAATCTTTTGTATAGGTTGTTAATTGATTTGTTAAAACAGTTGATACAGTCTTTAATTTTGAAATTCCAAATTGTACTTTTAAATGTCGAATTCTTACGTTATTAAAATTTATCACAACGTTTTTTTAATTGATATACGAGGTGTGTTCAGAAAATAACGGGAATTGTTAAATTTCGCAGGTTTAGAGGGTTTCTTTATTATGTTGGTATACATGCCCCCGAAGTATGATAAAAACTTTAGCTGTTTTCATTGTTTACTTTGTCTGTGGCAGCCGCTAAGGTTAGACGTGTTTTATGAGCTCGGCGATTTTTGGTTCCTTAAAAGAAATGGATCAAAGAATTTGTATCCAATTTTGCTTAAAAAATGAAATAAATTCTGTGAAATGTTAACAAAGGCCTAAAGTGAGTCTGCTATAAGTAAAACAAGAGTTTACAAGTGGTATAAGAGTTTCCAAGATGGCCGTGAAGACGTTGAAGATGACGAACGCCCCGAACGCACAAGCACATTAACAACCGATGAAAACATGGAAAAAGTGGAAGAAATGGTTAAAAACCATCAGAGAAGTCGCTGATGATGTTGGTATATCGATTGGCTCATCCCATGAAATTTTTTCGAATGTTTTGGGTATGTAACGCGTGGCAGAAAAATTTGTTCTAAAATTGTTAAATTTTGAACAGTATTTTTGGCCAAAAACAATACTGTAATGATGCCCTAGCCTTCATATTCGCCAGACATGCCTCTCTCTGACTTTTTCCTATTCCCAAAAGTAAAAAAACCTTAAAGGGCCGTCGTTTTGCAAGCATAGATGACATTAAAAGCGCATCGCTGAAAGAACTAAAGGCTATCCCAAAGATCGAGTTTTAGAAGTGTTTCGAGTATTGGAAGAAGAGCTGGCACATGTGCATAATATCCAATGGGGACTATTTTGAAGGCGACAACATTAATAATAATAACATTAAGACGAATAAATAAATATTTGTTTCAAAAAACGAAAATTCCCGATATTTTTTGAACACACCTCGTATAGAACATTTTTCTAATGCAAGTACAAACTGAAATGTTATAAATTTTTTTTAAGAAGGAATTTTCCTAGAGAGAGGTAAAATCAGACAAAAAATATATACAGTATACATTTTATATATATTTTTATATTTATTTGTACAATATAAAATTAAAACAAGCCTGTATAAATAAAAATATACCTATACAAATGTATAAGCAACTATTGATTAAATTATAACTTTAACGCCAATTTATGTTAAAAAATAGCAAAATTTATTAAATAATTAACCTTTTACTAAAGCACGAAATCGTTTAGTACAAATCAAATTGGCATTTTGAGATTAGATATGTAATTCTTGCAAAATCTAAATCAAACTAATAAAATATTTTCGTAAATACTAATTTTTAAAATGTTGGCACTACATTTATTTTCAATTCATATTTTGGTCGTATACTATAACAAAATCACATCAGATGGTGTGCCTCAGGGCTATAAACTAAGACCTAACGTGGAATAAATTTAAATCGCTCGCCATATTCAAACATAAATATAATTTATTACATTGTCGTTACTTTATGTAACAAGGTTACAGACATTTTGATCCAGCTAAGCATTAGGTTTTATTGTTTTTATGGTTTTTGTAATTAAACCTACTAGGACTGACCTAATTATCCTACACAAAATGTTAATTGAAACCGCCATTTTTGAGAAACAATGCAGTTTTAGTTTAACAAGTAACTTATTTAAACTTATTTTGTTATTTCAAGAACAATTATTTTATTATTTTTTAAATTTTAATGGTAAACAATTTTCGCATAATTTTCTATCAACTTTGCAGTCCATGGATCCAAAAGTAAAATTTGTCAAAATGTCAAAATTTATGTAAAATATTTACTTAAGTTAAATATCCTATAAAAAATGAAATGACTGGGTCGATAACTAAATTGAATTTTAAGATAAAAAATTAATTTTAAAAAATCACAGAATATTTATCATTTAAGTAGGTAGTTTAATGAAAATTACTAGAACTGGTGATAAACTAACCATAATATCCTTTATTTTATCTATAATTGAAAAATATATGCATTTACGAGTTTAATTAAGTTAGGATTAAAAATTTTGGTTTTTTTTTTTTGTATTTAAATAATTTGTTAATAGTGGATTGACAACAAATTAAAAAGTTTACTTTTGTTCATAATAACAAAATAATTATAGTAATTGTGCACCATTTTTGCGACACCCTGTATACATAAGGCCCATTAGTTAAAATTCCACGAAGTTTGTGTTTCAAACGCGACCAAACCATATTAATTTAAAGTGGCAAATTCATTAAATTACCAGTCATAACACACACAAGTTGTAAACCTATTTTTTAAACTCTGGGAAAATAAAGGCAAAAAGATCAACCACATCGTCGCAGATGTTCCATGTAATCGAATTAGCTCAGTGTTGCATAAACAATGCTAAAATATGGTGTGCAACCGTTAAAAGCACATGAATCAGGCACCAAAAAAATATAAACAATGTTTGTGAAAAAACTAAAAAAAAGTCAGCCAATGTTTATTGACTACAGCTGTTCCCAAAAAAGAATTGTGCATGTTTTTAAGTTTCGGATTTTAAAATTAAATTGTATTTTATTTTTTAATGTTTTAAGACGTGATTTACACTGGTGCAAAAATAGAAAAAAAAACTTCTTCAGAATGCATGAGATTTTGCGAAAAATCTGTTGATTTGTCCCCTAAAGTCAATACTTTTGCTTCAAAAAAACAACAAGCTTGTAATATTTGCAAACAAACAAATTAGTTATCTGTCACGAATAGTTAATATTTTTTATTTGATTTGGTTTCATAAAGATCGCTATTGCATGTGGATTATTTCATCCAATATCATTCATAGTGTTGCCAAGTTTATTAAACTTAAATTCTTAACAACTTAAAAGTTGTTTTTTAACGTTTTACATAGCATGATATATGAAAAGTTACATTGTTTTTGCAAAAAAAAATTGTTGATATAGACTGTTAAATAATTAAATTTAATATTTGAATAAATTAGTGCAAAAAATGCATCGAAATAAATAATTAATCGTTTTACAATCTCGTTAGGGAAATACATTTTTATAAATATTATAAAAACAATAATATTTTGGTTCAAAAATAATATTTATTTATGTCCTAATGCTGAGACGTGAGTCTGCCGAATGTTCAAGGCACAAACTATACAAAAACAGACAAATATAATTAATAAAAGTAGAAAGTGAGGTTAGGTAGAAATAACAGTAGTCGAATTTTTTGACTCGTCCAAACGTTTTTACAGACTAGGAGGTAAAAATTACCCGATTTGTCTGAATTATTTGTACAGCCTACTTTATAGTATGAATGTTTAAATGCTATTTCGACCACTAGTGGGAGAAGTAAAATTTTGGCAACCGGTTAAAGTTAAGAAATGAGATGGGTGTTAAAAAATATATAATTGTTGGTGTATTGTGTGTGAATTAGGCATTAAATTATATTAAAACTACGGGTCTACACATATTTTAAACATAAACCAGACCATATTTTTATGGTAGCTATTACATTACGAGTTCTATGTTTTTTTAACTATTGGGTTAGAATTTCTCAAATAACTGACGTGATAGAGTTACTAATTCTGAGTCAAATTGGACTGATTTAAACAAAAAAATGTTTAATTTTGTAGACCTGTTTGCAAAAAAAAAATAATTAAAGATTAATTGTGGTACAACATGTGGCAGCAGGTGTCATGCATTAGACAGTTAAAAGCTTGATGAAAAAAAAAATAAAAGTATTGAATAGAAATAAAAAAGCGTGGGATGTGAGGGTAAACATAAACATTTACCTCGCGTTAAACCACCTGCAGCGAACAAAATTTGCACCACTATGGAAAAGTTTAGCACAGGAAATGAGTCTTCTGCACTTGTTCACGTCAAATTGACAATCATGTGAGAAACGGCACAACTTTACATTAACAGGATCCGTGTTTCTAATATAATACATCGCATATGCCGGCCCTCGTTTAACGTTATCCGCCCGTATAGCGCTCTGCACTCAAACGATTTGGACACAAGCACGCGGTTTTGCTTTTAAACGAGCTATTTTTAGACCTTGATGTCATGTTCGGCGCCGCCGATTGGCCGGCCATGACATAATGGTGGCGCGCGATTGGTCGGCTCGCCGTTCTCGGCCAACTCGACTGTTATGTTGATGCGCGAAACGTTTTTCAAAGGTTTGTCGATTTTAATTTGCGAACGCGAACTGTGTGTTTACTTTTTGTTGATTATTTTTTATTACAGGAAAATAATAAAAATACCTGTACAAATTATCGAGTCCATTTTACCATAAACCTTATCAGGATACCTACGTTATTAAATAATAATTTTTGGAATAAGTGTGGGAGATACCGAGCGTGTTTGGCATTTTAATCCCGGCGCATTCGCCATTTATTACATACAGGATTTATTTATTTTATTGTAAATTTTGTTTAAAAATCTGTTTTTTACTTTCGTTCTTTTATAAACTTTATAGTTAACATATTTTGTCAATAAAATGTTATTGTGTTATTTATAGTTTTGACCAAAGGGCATTTTTAACTACGATTTTAATAAAAGTTTTCTTGGCTAAAACTAATTTATTATAGAAGATCCAAGGACACAAGTAAAGTAATGATAAAAATGATTAATTATTTCGTATGGTAATCAACAGAGCAGAATTTTGGGTGAGGGGCCAGTTTGCATTTATCACAGATGGTGTTACAATATTTGTGACATAACAAACAGACTAAATTATTAATTGAATTTTGGAAGATGTCAGTTCGATTCAAATTGCTTTCTATCATTACAATGCAAATTTTGCATTTAGCAATAGCTTTTTAAAAAGATTTTTAAAAGTTTTAATACGTCTGTCCGTACTAACACCCTATTAAACTCATTTCAGCAAAAATACACCTCTAGAAATATTTTTATATATATAACGCAGAGAACAACCTTAAAACAACAATTAGACCAAGGGATGAGACAAACTTAGATACTCTTAATTGAGTTCCTTGATCTTGGTGGACACCGAAAAATATAATGTGCTGGCCAAATAGCTTTTAAATTAAGCTAAAGGTAATTTCTCTCAACACAGATTTGTGATCAGAATTAAGAAAAAGAAGAAGTTCCTCCTAGTTCATTGACTGGCGATACCCTTGCATGCTTTAAAAAACATATCTGCTTAATTTAAAAATATATAATTCTATGAATCACAAGCAACTAAAAATATTACAAACATTGGAAATTATAATTCACCACAATCAGCGACAGTAATTTTCTTAGCAGTTTTTCCAGATTGTGAACCCAAGGTTTCCAGTTTTCGTACTATATCCATGCCTTCAACGACGGAACCAAACACAACGTGTTTATTATCCAACCAAGAGGTTTTAGCGGTGGTTATAAAAAATTGCGAACCGTTTGTATTAGGGCCAGCATTCGCCATGGACATAACACCAGGTGCAGTGTGCTTCAACTTGAAATTTTCATCCGGGAATTTGGCATCGTAGATTGATTTACCGCCAGTACCATTGTGGTTGGTGAAATCGCCACCTTGGCACATAAAATTCGGGATGACACGGTGAAAACACGATCCTTTGTATCCAAAACCTTTTTCTCCCGTGCAGAGGGCTCGGAAATTCTCTGCAGTTTTCGGCACCACGTCGTTGCGCAGCTCCATCACAATCCGTCCAACGGGTTTGTTGTCAGCAGCCATATCGAAAAACACTCTTGGTAGTCCCATCTCGGCTAAATTTCTAACATACGATGTGGAAATTGACGAGGTTTTGTTGAAAATGCAATCTGTCAAATTTTTATAATTAATAAAATTTGACATTTCAGGTTGCGATTTGCAAGTAAATAGTTACCCATGGACGATTTAATAGTATATTAAAGTACAAGTTGCAGAAGGCCACATATTCTCGCACAAATTCGAAATTTGGCCTCGAGCGACGAAGGAGCGAGTGGACGAACGAATGAGTGCGAGAATAGCCTTCTGCAACGTGTGATTTATACTATTTTCTCGATTTTAACTTTTATTTAGGTTTTTTTAATTGTTTTGTGGTCGTTGTTAGTTGGGGGATTTTTCTCGCAAAATGTCAGTTGGCAACACAAAATGACAGTTGCATGGACAGGTAGATTTATTTTTATTTACTATTTATTACTAATCTGTCTGTATTTGTCAACTGGATAATAAGGTTTTGTGTAAGTATTGTATTATTTTTTAATGTTTTCTGATATTTTTGAACAATTGTGTTTACTTTTAGCAGTGAAAAAGTCACAGGAGGTTTTACAAGGAACACCAAACATTACAATAAAAGTTTATAACAATTGTGCTAGTGATTAATTTATAGTAGTTTTGTGTTTTGTGTACTGTGGGTATATAATATTTCCAATCAAATATAGTTTGATTGACCTGTTTGGCTCATTTATTTGTCAATATTTGTTATCCTGCACAAGTACAACCTGAACTGCACTTTTTCACATTAAACTTAAAATTTTGCATTAAAATGCATTGTTGGAGCAAACTTAATATAACAAAACAATAATAAAGGCTTCATTTTCAATAAAAGTGTAGTTCAGGTTGCACTAGTGCAGGATAACAAACAAAGCTATTATAAATAATCCTAAAAGTAATGAATTTGAGGTTATTAAACAGTTTGACATTTTGGGGGTACCAATACTTAAAAACTAAATCTTACCAAAAATCGTTTAAGAATGAGCTTCATTCTTCAACGATTTTGCGTGCGAGAATATGACATTCTTACATAAAAATCGAGAAAATATTTTTTTTATTAGTAGTTACACATTCTATTTTTAAAATATACGTTAGATGAACCATGTATTGGAATGAGTTCTTCTCGCCAAAGGCAAAAAACGCATTCGTCAAAATCTGACCCACATTGTAACTATGTGGCCAATGAATTTTTTTCATTGCTCATATGCACCAAACATCCAGGAAAGATCGCTATCCTGCGTTCTAGCTACGTAAAATGCAGCAATAAAATTTACTATCTGGATTTACTGCCAAGTCAAATTTAAATCGTAACGTTTCAACTTTTATTGTTTCTTTTGATGTTTATGGAAAACTGCGGTTTACAATACAATTACATTTACTTGCTATAGGCAACATGAAAACTATAAAATTTTACATTTTGCTAATAAAACAATAAAATATTTTTAAATAGGTATACCCAAAGATAATTATTATTATCTTTGGGTATACCTATACGAAATTAGTAAATATCATTTTTGTAAAAATACTTAAAATAAGAATTCTCAATACCTACTATACTATATTTGAAAATGAATCAAATATGTACTTCCTGTGAAAGTATGTGGAAATGAATTACAACAAGAGACATCTAGTGAAATATTTCAGGAACTTTTTAAAGAGTAATTTAGTTTTCTGTACCTACTAGTTAATTCATATTATTTCTCACTGTCCGGGAAATGAGTCCATTTGCTTTAAAAGTGTATCTTGTTAATAAGAGGGATAATAACGTAAATAATAAAACAACGTTTAGGCACAGTATATGTTCCATATACTGTGGTTCAGGAAAGATAGGACTACAATATAATTTTAATTGACATCCGCTGTTATTGCTGATGCCCCCACAAATTTCTTACTTAAGCACCCTGTACCTATATGCCTAAATAAATATTGCATGTTACTTTCAGCCGAGTTCATATAGATGCGAATTTGCGAATTTACGAATTTGCGAAATACGAATATTCGCATTTCGCAGCTCCTATTCATATAGATGCGAATTGTCGGAACCATTTTAGGGACATTGTTTTCTCACTAGGCGATATTTGCTATGGTATTTTAGGGACATTATTTTCTCTCCAGGTGATATTTGCCATACTTAAGTACCAATTGGTTAACATTTTCTATAGGTAGGTACTTAAATAGTAAAGTTACTTCTAAAAAAATATGCTACTATAAGGTAAAATAAGAAACTAATGTACCTCCAAAAACTCTTTGTCCATTATAAAGAACAAAAAACAACTTTAGCAAGAAACATTTCAAATAAAACTCAACAACGATGCAATACAAATGAAATAAACACAGAACATAAACAAAAATGGCGCGGATACATATAACAAATACGTATAATAGGCATCTGCATTAATGCGCATGCGCATCACGCCAAATTCGTGCGATTTTCGCAAAATATTGGATCAATCTCAAGATTCCCGCCCCCCAGATTTCAAATAATGCGAATTCGCAGAATCTGTCGAAACGTCGAAACACTTTTCCCGCCAAATCAAATGGACCAATGAAAACATTTTCGCATTTCGCAAATTCGCATGTCGCATCTATATGAACCAGGCTGAAGAGTAATTCTACATTTCAAAACAAAAATCATAGAAACACATATATCTACGCATAAGAGTTTATGATTACATTTGTTTCTGAAACAATTTTTGAGAAAGTTACAGCGTTTTAAAAAAACGCTTCCATGACCTTGAAGAGAGCACATGACATCACGATGTCATAACATAACCAATAAATCGACCATCTGTTTCTAGGTTATAATTATTATTTGTGCATATACTTTTTAGTCATTTTTAAGGGAAAATTGATAGGGAAAATCGTTTTTTCAACAGTATTGTTTTTAGTGACTAATCTCTATTATAGGAGTAGTTTCACACTGATATTTGATATCATGTTCCAACCCTATTTCGGATCATTGGGTCCTGTGATATTTAATCATTTATTTGTAAAAAATTGGTTAATTTTTTTACAAAATTACTTAAAAAATTAGATAGGTTTGCTAGCCGATTTACTGATTTATCAAATAACTTGTTAAATAGGGCTGAATCTTCTTTGAAGTCAGTATTTGGTAAGGGTAGTTAAATCTTCTTTGAAGCCAGCATAAAGAGCAATTTTGGTCCGTTTGATAATTTCTTTCAGCCTAGTAAATAGCTTGTTGAAATGGCTGAATCTTCTTTGAAGTCAGTATTTGGTAAAAGAAGCTGAATATTCGTTGAAGCTAACGTAAATTATTATTTTCGTAAGCATAGGAAAATTATTAAATGTCATGAAAATTTTAAAAAATATTTATTCGAAATAATTTAAATTACAGTTTTTAGAACATAAAATGATAAAAAAATAACTGCTCCAGAAAATTTAAAAAAATGATGTTTGTATAGATAACGGTATTTAAAAAGATCATATACATAATTTGATGAATCTTTTGACAACAAATACATCCCTACCTTTAGTTAAAACAAACTAACAAAGGTACCATACTTTTGTCTAAAATATACACTTTAAAAATAAACTATCAAAAATTAAAAGGGAAATATTAAAAATACAAGTAGCGACTGCATATGTATACAAAATAGTTGATTGTAAATATGTCAAACTTAAAATATTAACAATAAACATATTTAGTATCAATTAAATACTCGTCAACCAAACCATAAACAACCACAAAATTAAGTAGATCCTTGTATTTTTATATTTTTAACACTAATATACACTTCTACAGCATCCACATTTGGTATTTAATGGTACACATTTCAACTTGGATCGACAGAATGCGTGTTATAATTTCAGACGCAAGAGTGCAGCACATTTCCAGTCAACAAAATCAAATGCGAACCTAAAACAAATCCAGAACGGACTTCTCAATGTGTTGCACTAAGTTCGGAATATCATAGACGAATTAATTAACGGAGTCCGTGATGCTTTGCCTCCACGTGGCGTGGAAGGGAATCTTCAAGATCTTGACCCGCGTGGTGGGCAGACTCTGCAGCAGCAGCTTCTGCAAGTTGGGCAGGGGCAGAATCTCCACTTGCGGGGGATCGTGCGCGGGCGCGATCTCGTCGTCCTTCTCCGTTATCAGAGGCACGGGTTTCAGCACCGGGATGCTGTCCCCGTTGCCGGCGGGCTTCTTCTCCTTCTTGTCCTTGCTCGCCGGCTCCTCGCACTGATCCACGAACAACTCCGTCACGCGCAGCAGCTCCAACGTGACGCCCCACACGAAGTGCGACAGGGTCTTGTGCAGTCTCAGAACCCCGCCCAACACCATGTGATTGGTCGTGGCGCTCTGAGATATGTACGTGGGTATAATCAGTAGCTTCTTAACGTTGCAGCAGGCGCCCAGAGCCTTATCGAAGCCGCTCTTGATGTCAAAATTAACCAACTCCAGCTGCTCCAACTTTTTCATCTCTTTGACGGCGCTCAGCATCTCGAACGTGTGGCATTTGCCTTGGCCTTTCTCCAGGCGGAGTTTCTCGAGATTCTCCAGCTTTACCAACACGTTCTCGCCGAAATCGCTGGGAAAGTCGTTGCACTCCCCCAAATCCAACGATTCCAGGTTCTTCAGCTCCGCTATGACGCCGAGGTTCAACTTGTAGAGATCCTTTATCGACGTCAACGAGATGTGCTGGATGGTGTTGAGGTTCCTTAAAGAATCAATGTCAGAGGTTAGAGTTAACCCGTTGGTCGACTTGATCCTCAACTCCTTGATCTTCGTGAGGGAACCGAGCGCTTCCAGCGACATAACCTCGCACTTGATCGTGACCGCGTTGATGACCTCCAGTTGCGGGTTGCTGAGCGCGAGCTGCTCGACCACGGAGGCCGGGCAGCGGCACAGCTCGATCTTCCTCAAGGTGTCCACCCTGGAGATGGCTTGCGAGAAGCGCGGCCAGATCTCGTCGCCGCCCGACGGCAGCAGCATCTTCCGCAGGTCCAGGTGGCCGGTGCCGTGCTTCTTCAGCGTGTCGGCGAGGCCGTCGAAGCTGTGCACCTGCGAGTTCTTCATGCGCACCGTGCGCCACAGGCTCGAGTGGCCGGCCACGTCGCGCCACATCGTGCACACGCACCCGGCGCGCAGCAGGTCCTGCACCTTCAGGTACTGGAACACGTAGAGGAGGGTGCTGTAGCCGTACGAGAGGTTTTGCAGGTAGTGCTCCATGAATTTGCCCTCGACGTTCTTGTCAGACGACAAAGGCGCGCCGTTGTTCTGCTTCGCGACGCGCAACTTCTTCTTCGGAGGCGCTGGTGGCGTCACCTCCGGAGTCTGCCTGAAACAATCAAACAAATACCTTCATATAATCATTTTTAAAACATTATGCTGATATTACACTAGATGAGTAAAAGTATTGCAGTTTTTGGTACCAAAACAAAAAAACAATACTTTAAATATTGAGTATAGTAAAGTTTGTTACAAAATGTTGGAAACAGTTTTTCTTTTAAATGGGATATTTTTAAAAGGGTTCAAATCTTTGAGTAAGCAAGAGAAGGGTATTTCCACAAAACCTTATCCCACCTTGACAAAAAATCAGATGTGTTATTTAACAAAATAATTTGTAACCTTAAAATATTCGTAGGTACATTGTGATGCTCCCGAAAATAAAATGAAACTTACTGCTGAATGATTGATTTTTTATTCAATGATTGTGTTCTTTGGTTTATTGTTTGACGTGGAGTTTATAGTTTTCATTTATTTTACTTAACAGATGCTAAAACGGGATTAAAACAAAATTCAAACAAACCAAAAATGTCAGATGTCAAAATTACTTTAACTTATACGCATGCTTAATTTGCTACTAATTTTGCTGCATAAATACCCTCCTATTAATGTTAAATTAATCTTAATCTTAATGTTAATCTTAATGTTAATTTGTGCTGCATAAATCCACCATAACATTAAGAATAAACACGGAAGAGTTTTAGTACTCAGTTACATTTTAAGAAAATTTTAGAAAATAAAGTATGCAATTTTTGTGCATTTAAAATACGTGCTTGTTTAAGGTTACTATTTAAGTTTTACACAAAAAATTATTACTATATACTTTCATCCAAAATTTTACGGTATCAACTTTAGAAGCCAACTTGGTCGCATTTGCCGATTTTCTAAGGTCGCGCCCGTTACGCTATTCATGCCGTTATAAAAAGGTTTTCTTTACAAGTTTTTATTGACATTTTGTTTTAGTTAAATACCTAATTTTTCATACTATTTTTTTATAATAACGTATCTTGATATATATGAACAAACCCTTTATTATTATAAAAAAACGCAGTTTTAGTATCGCACCCGTTACAATGGAAATATCTTTTATAGATGTGCCAAATGTGAATAAAACAAACACTACTTAACCTTATATTTACTACACATGGTCACCAGAAAATACATACCAAAATAAGTCAATTTTACCAAACTATAAAATAGTTAAAATTATATACACTAAAACGTTTAATTCATTAATTTTTAGGGCAATGTTTTTACTTAAAATTGATGCTATACTTTTACTTACGTGTCTGAAAACGGGGTTAGGTATATATAATATAAATATTCGCCTATTTTTTAAATGGATGGATATGTATTATAATAATTTGCAATATAAATTTATAATAACTTACGATTTCATGTTTTTTAAATAATATGATACTATTCTCTCTGCTAAGCTAAAACCCCGTATCTACAATATTAAGTCGTATATACGGGATTTTAGCTTAGCAGGGCAGTATTAAATTGTAAATTTCAAACACAACTTTGTTTGACACCAATATACCTAACAAGTTAAGTTAAGTTAAGAACTTTCAAAATAAGTAGATTGAGTTAATTGTTGACTACGCTTTTTCCGGCCACCCTGTATAAAATTATTGGCCCCTTTTAATAAACATGTCCAATTGTGCATTAACCTTTGTTACAGCAAGCAAAATTATATTTAATATATGCTCAAAAATAATCAAAGTTATGGTATTTTTAATAAGCAGTCCCACTACCAAAGTACCAAGGCTAATACACAAGCAATAATAACATTAATGTACCTGAAAACCAAAACATAAAAAATAAAACGAAAAAATTAATATCTACAACTAAACAAAAACCAATGTATTGGAGTAGTTATTACGCAAAATAAATAAATAAATGAAGGGTCGAGAGGTTCAGAACAAAAGAGCGTACCTGAAAACATGAAATCATATAAATTAGAAAAATGCCAAGTAATGAAAGTGGACACTCACTCTGGAAACTCATCCTTGGACGGTGCTACTAGTGACGTCGCTTCCGTCGAGGCGGTTTCCACGTCCATGGGCGTAGCGGCGTGGGGGGATTTAAGTGGCGACACGGGCTCCGTTTTAATATCCTCGGCGACGTGCGCCAAGCCGTTATTATTGTTCACCGGAGCGCTCGAGTTCGACGAGACGGTCATGAAGTTGTGCTTCGGAATGACCAGAAACTTTCGGCCGCCCAAAATCTCGAGGTACTGCGGCCGAACCAGATCGTGCGGCGGCGGCTCGTTGGCCTTGGGCAGATTGTTAATTATTTTCGAGTTGTGCGGCAGCCACGTGGTTAAGGAGCCCACTAGGCTTTTATTGTTATTCTCCGTGTGCGGAGGAGGAGGGATGTTCTCCTCGATCGTGTCGCCATCTCTCGGTATGCGCTGTAATTTCGGTAGCGCGGCGGAGGGCGCGCTCAGAGCCCTTAGCGCGTTTATTGGGGTTAGAGGGGGAGGTGCGGGTGCGGGCTGGTTCGTATTTTGACCGTCTAGTTGGCAATTCTAAAGAACAACAAAGTCTATTACTATTTGGACGCAAACTACACATTAAAAAAAATTATTCTGTCAATTATTCTTTTTAATAGATTTTGGTGGAATACAATTAAAAAGTTTCGTCAGACCGTTGAAAAACTAATTACGTTAAGTAGGGATTTTTTGGTGAAAAATATTTTTGTATTACCTATTATAACCCATACTTCAATTATTTTCAGAAAATTTTAGAAAATAAAGTATACAATAGTTGTGCATTTAAAATAGGTTTCAAGTTTTGCACAAAAAAATATTACTACCTATATGCTTTTATCCAAAATTTTATAGTATCAACTTTCTAAAGTCGCGCCCGTTACGCGATTCATGACGTTATAAAAGGATTTCTATACATGTTTTTATTGACATTTTGCTTGTTAAATACCCAATTTTTTATACTATTTGTATATATATGTATATCAACAAACACATTATCATGAACGCACCCGTTACGTTTTCATACGTCATTTTTTTATTTTGTATCTCACCCAACTCGCTTATGAGATTTTCATAAAAAATAAACTTAATAATCAACTTTTAAGCCTTTAACATGATAGTATTTTGTTTCTACAGTTTGAAGACAAATTTTTGAAATACTGTATAGGAAATCTGTGCAAAATAACACTTCTGCACTTGCATTAAAGGAAGATACTATATGTTTGCAGATGACACAGCATTGGTACATATATAGCAGAACAGACTCAAAAGAAATTACCAATAATATTAATGAAGACCTAAAACCCTATTGGAACTGGTTAATTAGTAATAAACTTAGTCTCAATACGCAAAAAACTGAATTTATGGTTATAAAACAAAAATATATACCTGCTTTCGATCTGGACATTAAAATCAATAGCATATCTATAAAACAGGCACACTATTAAATACTTGAAATGACCATGTTGAAAGCATAATAGACAAAATTCCATGCTGGGGAAATGCTGCCGAATATTTAATAAATAAACTACAAAGAGTGTAACAAGCCTTTGAAAACTATATGGAGTTAGTATACGTATACAGAGGTCTATAAAAAAAAACAAGACCAATGTTCGGATCAACTAATAAAATTTGAGCAGGCTATACTCATTCACAACATCAAGAACAAGACCATCAAAACAAACGTCAATCTGTTGCAAGAAAAACAAGTCCATTAGCATAATATAAGAAAAAATTATGACTTCTGAAATGAAAAAAGAATAATAAAAAAACAATAATACAGAAGTATACAAACATAACATGTTACCAGAAGAAATGACAAATACTCAAATGTGATCATGTGTAAAAAAACTAAAAAAATATTCAAGTATGTGATATTCCTAGTTAAAAATGCTAAAAAAAAATTACATTTTACAATTTACTACTTATATGCGGATGTATGGATTTTTATATGTATATGTAGGTACCTATAAATTTGATTATTAAAACATATGTACCTGTAAATGCTGAAAAATCCTCAACATTGTATTATATTGTAAACATTTTTTTTATGCACTGAGTATGGTTATACTGCTTTGTGGTAAGAAATTAATTAGCTAGGTATATTAAATAAAACAAAAAAATATTTTTATGAAAATATTTTTTTCGTCCTTTATAAATTTATCATTTCAGATTTTGTGCTGCCAACATAAATTTAAAGCTCAATGTTTTTGTTCAAGCAATACCTAGGAAACAATATAAAAATGGGGGAACACGGAAATTTGACATTTTACCCTTTAGTCCAGTAATAACATATTTTAGGTCGAATTTGTATAACTCGAATATTTATAAAAACTCTAATTTTCATAACTTGAATTTTTTTGCAAGTTAGTATGTATATGGTAATTTTTTAATTAATTTATAACTTATTTGACAATTTTATAAGAAATTATCAATTACATATACAGTATTGGCCATAATTATTGCAACAACTGTAAAAAAAACTTAACTCTAAAACGCCTTTATTAATCTTTATAAAATTTTGGATAAAAATATTTCAAGTTATATCTCAGTTTACGTGTTCAAGGGTTTTTCGAGAAAATATTTTTAATTAATTATGAAAAAACGCTCGAAAAATAACTTTTAGGGAATTTTTTAAGTAAATAAAAAATTTGCTGTTAAAAACCGTATTTTTGTTAGTATACCCTGAAAATTTTGTACAAATCAAATGAACAGTAACGAAGCTACACATATTTAAAGTCGTCAAAAATAATCAAAAAGGGGCCATTTTTACAAAATTTTCAGAGTATACTAACAAAAATTTTTAACAGCATATTTTTTGTAGAAATTTTTCGAACGTTTTTTATTATTAAATAAAAGGACTTTAAAACTATTTTCTCTAAAAAATCTCGAACACGTAAACTGAGATAAAAGTTGAAGTATTTTTATCCAAAATTTCATAAAGATTAATAAAGGCGTTTTAGAGTAAGATTTTTTTACAGTTGTTGCAATAATTATGGCCGATACTCTAGATTTATAAATATAACAAAATGAATTTTTATGAATGTAGATTTATGGTAATTAAAGGTCCATTTTTGATATAAACGTTTTCAATATTAATTACGCTTTGAGGAAATAATTAAAAATTAATGCAAACGTGTTTCACAATGTGAAATGTTTAGGATTATTGGAATGTCACTTATTTTGAAAATTACTTTTAAATGTATTCAACTCAAAACCATTAAAAAAAATCCACCAATTATACTACCGAAAAACGCTCAAAAAAACTGTATACCTTACAAACATAGGCGAGCGCCATGTTGGGCGGCGCCCCAACGCACTCATGGTGATAGAGGCAGAGGCAGTAGCAACACTGCAGGGTCGGAACCAGTCCCTGAACGCCCTGACACATAATCGAACACGGCTGACACGGTTTCTCTCTGGCAAAACTGCAATATTGTATTTACAAGAAAAACGGTGATGTTAGGATAAGGACTGGGGTTTCGGGTGTGTGATATGGCGTATATCTACTTCCAATACAAAGATAAATAAATAAATCTAATAAACTGGCAAATAATCTAGAAAACATGTTTAAATTTTGTACTTACTTGGCCCATTTCGCGCTTCTCCTGGTCGACGGGGTTGTGGCCGCCTGTTTCGCCGGTGGGGCCTCCACATCCATCTCCTCCTCGGATTTTTTCTTTTCCGCCTTTTTGCCAGGCAATTTAATCTGCAATTTGAAATGTTACTGCGGTTTACAGACAATTTTAATGGAGATTAATTACGTTTTTACCGCGCATTTCTAATTAAACCTGTCAGTTTTGACAGTTCAAATCAGAGGTTACTTTTTTCTATAGTAAAGAAAAAAATGAAATATTAAATAATAATTATTACTCCTACTACTAATTGTTACAAAAATTATGAAAATTTATCAAAAAATATGTATTTGGAACACATCATTAGTTTATGTTATGAACAAGTTTTTAAAAAATAATCATTTCCTATACAGGGTGCATCAAGACGTATAATTACTCAACTTTTCTTTAATTTCATGTTATACTTGTGAATAAGCAATGAAACTATTGAAACTTGTGCTTATTAAAATAAAACAATTGATTAGTTTTTATATTGTTCATAATTTTGATTTCAAAGTACAAAAAAGGCTTAAAAAATAATTAATATATTTACAGTAATAATAACCTAACTGATAAAATTTGTTAATTTTTTTCATTTTTTTTTATACACTGCCCGTCAAAATTAACGCATAATAAGTAAAAAAAAATTAACTCTAAAACGCCTTTACCAATCTTTATAAAATTTTGGATAAAAATACTTATATCTCAGTTTACGTTTACAAGGGTTTTTCGAAAAAATATCCTTAAAGCCCTTATATTTAAAAAAAAAACGCTAGAAAAAAAACTTTTATAGAGAATTTTTTTTAAGTAAATAAAAAATATGACGTTAAAGACCGTATTTTTCTTAGTATACCCTGAAAATTTTGTACAAATCAAACGAACAGTAACGAAGATACAGCGCTTCAAAGTCGGTAAAAATGACCCCTTTTTGATTATTTTGCTGAAAAGTGGTCCTTTTTACCGACTTTGAAGCGCTGTATCTTCGTTACTGTTCGTTTGGTTTGTACAAAATTTTCAGGGTATACGGCCATTCCAAGCCCATGGACAGGACACATCAGAAACATGTCTAAATATATCCTTGTTACTTCCTTAAGTTTACTTATTTTTTCTACGAGTATTTATGAGAAGTATTAGCAAAATTTGGCTAATACTTCTCATAAATACTCGTAGAAAAAATAAGTAAACTTAAGGAAGTAACAAGAATATATTTAGACATGTTTCTGATGTGTCCTGTCCATGGGCTTGGAATGGCCGTATACTAAGAAAAATACGGTCTTTAACAGCATATTTTTTATTTACTTAAAAAAAATTCCCTATAAAAGTTTATTTCGAGCGTTTTTTTTAATATTAAATAAAAGTATTCTTATACAAAATTTCATAAAGATTGGTAAAGGCGTTTTAGAGTTAAAATTTTTTTACTTATTATGCGTTAATTTTGACGCGCAGTGTATAAGTAAATAACATTGTTTTTTTTATATATACCAAAACATTGTGTAAAAGGACAGAAGGAAGAATAGCCCTTTGGTTAACCCAATATAGACTTTTTTTTAATAACCTAACCATTTTGTAATGGCTTAATATTTAAAATTGTATAATATTTGTACATTTTATTAAAGTTTATCAAAAACTTTAATTATTTAAAAATATTGCCATCCCATGTTACAGTATATAATATATTATAAGTATATATATTTTTTATATACAGTTGTTTGGCCAATATAATGTATTTAGTATTTTTTGATGAAATAATATTTTACATCCAAGGTACCAATTTTTGCTGTTGAAATTTTAAGCAAAAGATTGTTTTTAAATAATTTTGCATTTTTGTTGCAAATTTTTTAATTAAACCTTTATTGATTGTATTTATTTATTTTATTAACTTAATAGTATTAAATATGGAATTATAAACTGTGCCATAATGATTTTGAGTTTAGTTTTAAGATCCTTGTTTTAAGTTATGTACCGGCCCTATATTTCTGTACACTTGTATCTGGTTGTTAAATAAATAAATAAATATCATTCTTTAAACAAGCAGATTTTGTCTTAGGGACCCTGAAAAACATTTCCATAAGGTTTAAGCAAACTTTACAATAGTGCAGCAACTGGGTTTTGAAGTTTTGGAGAAATAAAACCTAATTTGTATAGTGAAAATGTAAATTGAGAAGTATTGGGGTTTACCTTAAAATTCCCTAAGCCTTTAGCATTCCCTTTGGGCGTCGTTTTTGGTGGCGAATCATTTCCTTTGGGTGTCGCTTTTGGTGGCGAATCGGCGGTCTCATTTGGAATCATAGCTTTGGGACTAGTCACTTTGGGGCTGTTTAGTTTGGGGCTCAACACCTTCGGAGAGTTTCTAGCCGATGGAGCCTTTTTGGTCAGCACTTTTTTGGCCATACCGGAGCCTGCTTTGTACTTGGCATCGCGAATCACTTCCTTTTCAGGGTCATCCAAACCGATGGGTTCCTTGGTAAACGAAAAGTTTTCCAGAGTGAGACCATCCTTGCTTTTTAAATTCTCTGATACTTCTCTCATCGAACGAACTTTTTTGCCTGACGGCGTGTAATAGTAAATATCCCCACTTCTTTTTCCTTTCTGGCTCGAATCGGACGTAGCCCTCCAAACGAGCTCGCGCTTCCAGCCTAAAGTAAACGGTTTTAAGAATGCAGGGTTCGTTATATCAGTAGGGGCCTTGGATTTTTTATACCCCTGCACAGGACTGCTCGTGCTTGTACGCGTAGGTTTAGTACTAACTGGTGCTGGCTCAGGCGAAGGCGGGGGTTTTGTAGCAGGCTCGCTATCGGAGCCATTTTCTATTTTCGGTTTGTGATTGGGTGACAACATAATGTCGCTGTATCTTTTGTTTGGTATTCTGGCACGTTTGCCTTTGCCCAAAGTTTGTATTGCAGGCATTCCCATTTCAGATTCACTCATCCTCATGCTTACGTCGGTATCACTTGTTAAGTCTTCTGTAAGACAAAAAATCAATTATAACTAGGCAATAATATTAATTTGTTTGTAAACTTACCCCTTTCAACTTTGATCTCAGAGGAGCTTAAAATATCTTCAGAAGTAATTTGTGTAACCTCTTCTGCCTCATTACTAGTATTTTTTTCTGGTTCTGTTGTTTCGTTACTTTTATCATTTTCTGGTTCAGTTGTTTTTTTACTTTCATCATTTTCAGGTTCTTCAGCTTCTTTGGAAGGCTCAACGTTGCTTTTCTTCTCTTTACTTTCCTCTTCAGTGATAGAATCATTGGCTTTCATTTCGCTTGCCTTTCTCTTTCTGGTTCGAGCACCTCTTGGTGTTTCGGGGAGCTTCGTCTCATCCTCTTTAGGCGGTTCATCACTTACAGTGTCCATTTTGTCGGCGTCATTGTTTTCAACCGTTTTGGGGTCTTTAGTTTCTAGCGGAGTATCGTCGATCACGTTTGCCTCACTCTCTTGAACGTTTTCTTTTTCAGCGTTTGTTTTAACGTCTGTTTCAGCTGGGGCGCCGGCGGATTTCGACCTGGCCCTCGTTTTCCTCGTATTTTCCATTGTAAAGTCCAACAAACATCAGCCACTTGCACAAATTTTATACCAAACGGTTTTGAAGTGCGTCATTTGCTCACTAAACCCAGTTTCGTCATGGATGCTGGTGATTTCCTTTAAAAACTGTTCCAAACGATGTTTACCATAAGTTCACTAGGGGTTTTGTTTGTTAAATTCTTTACAAATAATTATTTTACCAATTTATAACAAACAAATCACACCGTCAAACACAAGACAGCGATGCTACGCGAAGATGGCGCCACCGACGATGGAAAAAAGCGGGTTAAGCGTCAACAGTGGCGTGCTAAACAAACAAATTAAATTATATTAATTAAAATTTAAAATGAAATAAAAGTCGTTTATTAATACCAAATTATTTTTTTAATTAAGTTTTATGTTATATTCAGCAATAAATTAGTATTTTAATAAAACACATTGCTTAAATTTACATATGAGTAATCTGGGTTGCCTACGACAAAATAAAATTTGGAATAATTTCTTATTGGATATTAACGACTGCTAATAAAAAATATTTCTTTAATATAAACTTGATAAATTATCATTCTCAAATATATGGTAAAGAATGTATAAAGAAAACAATTCAAATTTACTTAAATGCTTTATTCTTATAAGATTAATACATTAATTAAACATTTATTAGGTATAAACAATTATCCTTCTTACACTGATATGAAATGTTACTCTTACATTCACAATAAAACAATATACTAAATTTCTTGTGATACATACCTATACCTACCATAAAACCAATAAAAACATTATTTTTAGTTTTGCATTATTCCAGTAAATTTAAACATAATTCTTTCGTTTTTTTAGAAACATCCATGTAACAATAGTAAATTAATTATATAGATTTGTTTGTTGGTACAACTTATTATATTTAGAAAACTGTACATCTACCTAAAACATGAAAATACAAAATTTAATATATTTAATATTGTCACTAAAAAGGACGTTTTAAAATAAGCAAAACAGATGTTTTAACTTCTACAATGCCATATAGAATGACCATATATACAAATGAATAAAATTCACAGCTTTAAAAATTTTAATAACCAAATGATTTTATATGAGCATACATATATCACATTTTTAAAAATGGATTAAAAAGTGTATACCACTTTTGCATCCAATGTGGGAGAAATCAGAAATGTCAAATTTCAGGAAAAAATAGGATAGGCATTAGACTGGGCCAAAAAAATCAACTATTTTTTTTTGAAAAGTATATCGAAAATATGGTTTAGGGTGACAAAAAAAATTATTGTGAAAGTTTTTTGGCCCAGTCTAATAGGCATATGTGATAACTTATTAGTGTATTTAAAGGGATTAGTAAAATTAAAGTATTAACATCATTATTTTTCAAAGTAATTTAGCACAGTTTCCAACCTAGAGAACTTTGGTGAACTCTATTTTTTTTATTTTCCTATTTAATATTTTCTTCATTTATTAAACTTAAAAAGGAGAATTTAGGAAACTTTAGCTTCAGGCAAGTAAAACTTTGTTTATTTTTAGCATCACGATTTATCTCCCAAATATCCCCATTAAAATATTTAATTTTTGTAACACTATTTAGGTATAATTGACAATTATTCATTATAATATTATATTATAAAAAGAGAACTAAACTTCTAGCTCAATAATGTCAAATTATCAATTCTGATTTCTCTTATACAGCTCTAAGTTATGTAATTAACAAGTCCCAGACATCAGGAGGGCTATGGATTAGGTCTGGTCCTGCGGGCTTCTGCACAGGATCGTCGTGGTGCTGATAATGGTGATAAGCAGGAATACTGCGAGCAGGAACCGATCCAGCACTATCGAAGCCTGCTTCCATTCCAATTCGGTAGTTTCTCTTTGCTCTTGTTCCGTGAGTCTTTGTTCGTTACGGTCCACGCTGGCGTGGACTTTGTTCAGGATCCTGATAATTTGGTTCTCGAATGCATCTAGAAAATAAATTAATTAGAAATGATTATGATAATCAATAAATAACTATTATTATTATTATTAATTAGAAATGCATAGATTAGGACATACTAACTAAAAAGCAAAAATGTTGTCATTATTCACTTGTAGAGAGGTTGTAATTCAATAATAATACAACCTCTCTACAAGTGAATAATGTACGAATCAGTTACACTACCTGTGCAGGTGAATTAAATGTACCTGACTCCCGAAGGAGCCAAATAGAGGGTCAGTGGATCGCAGCAACAAACGATAAGTTAAATAGCTTTGAGTCGCATGATTTAATTTGCATTCTCCACTAATAAAGTAATCTTGCATTTTCTACCAACCCTCTCGAAGAGGTTAAGCATCTTCAAAGCATCTAAACCAGGAAAACAAAACAGCCAAGCAAGAAAAAGAGAATTCCCACAGGATAAAAAACGTAATTATTTGTAATTATAAATCGACACAAAACGTTCATAATCTAATCTAATTTTTATATTTCCTTTACTGATGATTTGTAAACGGTTTTCACAAAGTGCTAGTGCAAGTACTAAAATAAAAAACGTAATTATTTGTAATTATAAATCGACACAAAACGTTCATAATCTAATCTAATTTTTATATTTCCTTTACTGATGATTTGTAAACGGTTTTCACAAAGTGCTAGTGCAAGTACTAAAATAATTTAAAACGCATTTTAGTATAATATTCGTTGGTAGGTGGATCTCCCTAAGAGAGCAAATTGGGACAATCTGAAATTCAGTTAATCCCGGCGCATTCGCCATTTTTACGTATTCTTATTTGTAGAATATATAAAAAGTTAATTTTTTTTACCTGGACTGCGGCAACGTTGCAAATTTAGGGTTTTGGTAGGTAAATATAGTTGTCAAGTTGGTAGCATTGATTAAAACAAACTAAGCTAGTTATAAATCTAATTGTGGTTATGTATAAATTATTGTAGGTTACATTGTGCAGTTGTCAAGTTGAGTTGTCGAAATTCGTAGTTAAAAATGCAATTAATTTGGCTTTGGTGGTGTTTGGATGAGTAAAATCATATAAAAAGTAGTTAAATATAGTTTGCTTTACGGCCCAGAAGAGCAAGTATTCCTAGCGGATAACAATCTTCGCTTTGAAAAGAATTTATATAAAAGAAATTGAAGTTTTTTGTGAACGTAAATGTTGTCCAATGGTGAATAATGTGAAAATAATGTGTGGTGTAATATTTATAAAACCAAATTCGTTACTTTTTTACTCCAAAAATGTCCATAAGGCTATGTACTTTTTCTTCCATTGTGGTATTTGGCATAATTTCATCAAAATGAAGTTTTGCCCTCAAAAGGGCTTTTACATTCGAATTCGTTGCTATTATTTTTGGCATATTTTTTTTTTATTTATAATTGACCAGTAAATTATCAATAATAAATATTATTGTCAATTTGACAGTGTCAAAGTATTTAATTAAATTCTTTAGCAGAAGTACCATTTTTAAATACTAAAAATACTAAGTCAAACTGGCATAAGCCACCAAACCTAACAAATAAAAAGATAAAAAAAATAAACTGTACAAAAAATCACAACAAAAATGTATATTAGATCTTGATTTTAAAATAAAAATACTAAAAAATCATACAAATAAAAATAAAAAAATCTTTTGAGGCGACACGAGTGTGAAAACCAATACCTATGTTCGGAATTATTTAGACTAGACACACCTGGGCTTTAGGGTTTAACTGTCTATAAAATAATACTTCTGCTAAAATTTATGGACTAAAGATTTTCTAGCAAAAAACATTTTTCTCGTTTCGAATTCGATGGCTGTGGCACATATATGAAAGGTATAGGAATTTGACGCATCTGTAACAAGACTGAAGATATTACTTGGCAAGGCGCAGACTGCAGATGAGATGAAATTAATGAACATACCATAGACAAATGGAAATGTTGAGTTTCAATATGTGGCAGGTTTGAAAAAATTATATAAAAAATCCTTTTTTGTACATAGTATTCAAGGTGTAATGAAAATGACGGATTAACTCTCTTCACTCAGTGAACTTTGATATTTTTTACCTCACCAAATTGAAGACTTGAAGAATTTTTTAAATTATTTATCCCTGACTCTACTGAGTGTCCCCTACAACGATTTTATTTGTCATTTTCTTTCAACCCTGTATTTCAATAGAAATTGTATATCTTCCCAGGGTAAAAAATTAAATCAACCCATTTTTTGTTTCGTAACATTTAAATGGGAGAAAGCCATGTCATTAAACATTTTCCTGTATGATTTTTAGTACCTATCTAAGAATGTTTCAATCTGTATTGGACAATATTTGTACTAAAAACTATCTAAAAGCACTCACCAAATTTAGCTACAATTAAAAAAAATAGATTTCAAATTAAAACTACCAAAATGTCTGTCTTTAAAACTAATCTCTGTAACAAAGCTTATGCACTACTACAATACTACTGTTTTTAAATATGGCTCTCGTGATTTTTTATTTCTGACATTCTTATTGGTATAAGCCCTTTATTTAGGCATAATATTTTTGCTACCTTATTGAGGCAATGAATAATTTACGAGAAAGCGTACTACTAATTTTAATGAAAAAGGCAGAGCTGTTACAACTTTAAAAGTAATATCAACTTAATAAAAATGAGATTAGGTAAACAAAATTGGCATAAAGAAGAAGGATAAGTTTTAAGTGGTTTGAAATAAGTAAATCTTTAATGTGATCTGCATCTTTTATAAACTATAAATACATGTTTTTTTGTTGTAAAAGTTTCAATTTGTTTTGTTAATATTAAAATGTCTGAAACAGAACTTTCAATAATCAAACATTGGATAAAAAAGAGTTTTTAGACAAAAAATTGTGTAATTTTCAAAATATAATAAGAAAGTGGAAAAATACACATTTTATTCACCATATGTATGTTTTGTTTATATTAGGTCCTGTGTTAATATTAATGTTTGTTAATATTAAGTCCTTTGTTAATATTAAGTCCTGTGTAAGATTTTCAATAGGTGTAGCAGTAAAAAGGTAATAATCACGTTTCAAAAATGTCCATTAATCATAAAAGTTGTATGTAGGATCGACATATAGACGTATCCAATATTTCAAACCATCAATTTATCAAATGTAAATTTTTAACATTTTAATTTAAACCCAAAACAAGTAAGTTGGGCAAGCTAACTTGCGTTTCCAAACTGTGGATATGGAAATGTGTACCTTTTTATACTTAGGGTGGCCAAAAAAAATCAGCTAAAAAACATTTTAATGGAATTTTAAAAATTCCATGAATACCTACAGTTCATTTTTTTTATCCGGACTTGGCTTATGCCAGTTTGACTTCGTATTTTTAGTATTTAAAAATGGTATTTCTGCTAAAGAATTTAATTAAATACTTTGACACTGTCAAATTGACAATAATATTTTTTATTGATAATTTACTTGTCAATTATAAATAAAAAGATAATTATGCCAAAAATAATAGCAACGAATTCGAATGTAAAAGCCCTTTTGAGGGCAAAACTTCATTTTGATGAAATTATGCCAAATGCCACAATGGAAGAAAAAGTACATCGCGTTCGAATTTGGTTTTATAAATATTACATCACACAATATTCTCACATTATTCACCATTGGACAACATTTACGTTCACAAAAAATTTTATTTTCTTTTATATAAATTTTCAAAGCGAAGATAATAATTATTATCCGCTAGGAATACTTTCTCTTCTGGGCCGTAAAGCAACCTATATTTAACTACTTTTTTATATGATTTTATTCGTCAAAGCACCACCAAAGCCAAATTAATTACATTTTTAACTACGAATTTCGACAACTCAACTTGACAACTGCACAATGTAACTACAATAATTTATACATAACCACAGTTAGATGTATAACTAGCTTAGTTTGTTTTAATCAATGCGACCAACTTGACAACTGTATTTACCAACCAAAACCCTAAATTTGCAATGTTGCCGCAGTATATATATATATATATATATATTTCCATAAGATAAAGTTAAAAACTACAAAATATCAAAATCCCAACTTAATTAGAACTCTGTACCGTATCCCGTCGCATTCGCCATTTCTGACAATCCCAAAAGTAGGTATTCGTAGAATGGATAAAACTTACGAAATAAACCATTTATATTTATTTGCCCGTAAACTTTTAACGGTCTTATCGGCTAATTTTTCAGATCTTTTCGGTAATCCGGGATTTGGAACGGTAGTAGTTTATACGTGGATTACGGACGTCTTGCCTGAACGGAATTCGCAAACAATTTTGAGTAACTGTTTGCGATCGGTTTAACCGAGTTTTGGGCGGCTCGGTCTTTTTGTTTCGAAAGTTTTGCCTTTGATTTAGCAAACAAATGTAAACGCATTGCTGTGTGGCATAAAACTACGAAACCCCTTGTTAACTTGTAGAAATATGTAGTTTTCGAAATGGTGACTATTTTTTTTCAAACTCTACAATAGACTGCAACTAAAAGTGGCTTTTTGTTGTTTTATAATTATATCCTTTTTATACCACAAAGTTATTTAATTTGTATATCTACTCCTAAATTAAGATTGGGAAAAAGTGGGGTTAAAACGGTCAGAGACATTGATAAAAAGTGAAAATAAAAACCGATTGACATTAACAGATGTCAGATAAAATGTCAAATAAATTACTTTAAATTCTGAAAAAATTTTTTTTACTATCTATCCCTGTAACTACTCCAATTGCCAATTATAAATAAAAAGATAATTATGCCAAAAATAATAGCAACGAATTCGAATGTAAAAGCCCTTTTGAGGGCAAAACTTCATTTTGATGAAATTATGCCAAATGCCATAATGGAAGAAAAAGTACATCGCCTTATGGACATTTTTGGAGTAAAAAAGTAACGAATTTGGTTTTATAAATATTACATCACACAATATTCTCACATTATTCACCATTGGACAACATTTACGTTCACAAAAAATTTTATTTTCTTTTATATAAATTTTCAAAGCGAAGATAATAATTATTATCCGCTAGGAATACTTTCTCTTCTGGGCCGTAAAGCAACCTATATTTAACTACTTTTTTATATGATTTTATTCGTCAAAGCACCACCAAAGCCAAATTAATTACATTTTTAACTACGAATTTCGACAACTCAACTTGACAACTGCACAATGTAACTACAATAATTTATACATAACCACAGTTAGATGTATAACTAGCTTAGTTTGTTTTAATCAATGCGACCAACTTGACAACTGTATTTACCAACCAAAACCCTAAATTTGCAATGTTGCCGCAGTATATATATATATATATATTTCCATAAGATAAAGTTAAAAACTACAAAATATCAAAATCCCAACTTAATTAGAACTCTGTACCGTATCCCGTCGCATTCGCCATTTCTGACAATCCCAAAAGTAGGTATTCGTAGAATGGATAAAACTTACGAAATAAACCATTTATATTTATTTGCCCGTAAACTTTTAACGGTCTTATCGGCTAATTTTTCAGATCTTTTCGGTAATCCGGGATTTGGAACGGTAGTAGTTTATACGTGGATTACGGACGTCTTGCCTGAACGGAATTCGCAAACAATTTTGAGTAACTGTTTGCGATCGGTTTAACCGAGTTTTGGGCGGCTCGGTCTTTTTGTTTCGAAAGTTTTGCCTTTGATTAGGCATACAAATGTAAACGCATTGCTGTGGGGCATAAAACTACGAAACTCCTTGTTAACTTGTAGAAATATGTAGTTTTCGAAATGGTGACTATTTTTTTTCAAACTCTACAATAGACTGCAACTAAAAGTGGCTTTTTGTTGTTTTATAATTATATCCTTTTTATACCACAAAGTTATTTAATTTGTATATCTACTCCTAAATTAAGATTGGGAAAAAGTGGGGTTAAAACGGTCAGAGAGATTGATAAAAAGTAAAAATAACATTCACAGATGTCAGATAATATGTCAAATAAATTACTTTAAATTCTGAAAAATTTTTCTACATCCCTGTACCTACTCCAATTTATTAAAAAATTTCACTTGTTTTCCTTGTCTTTTAGGGGTTTTCCATTAGTAAAGTAGTTAATTTGCATATTAAAAATGCACTTTTAAACTTCTAGCATAAAATTAATTATACCGTTGTATGACATTCTATCTAACAAATTTGCGGTTAAAAGGGAATACAAATTACATCAGGATATAACTCATGAATATCCGGAGTTACAAGGATGACAATTTTAAGCAAAATGACAGAATTTCCCCTAATATACATATGCCGCCTTAAATTTAATTAGCTGAACCAGACGTTTCATTAAATCTAATAAACAAAGAAAGTGCTTTTTATTCATGTTTTAAAATAACTGCATTCTACTGGTTTGGTGGATATTCTTAAGAGCAGAGAATCAAAGATTTAAACCACTTGAATAAAGTGGAAGACTAGATACAGTTTAGAATTTGTGTAATTTAATGCACCAACTTTATTACTGATATACCTACAAAAGAAACAGCTCAAAACTTTAAAATCAAAATGCGATAGCTTAGCAATGGTATAAAATTTTAATCGAATTGTTAAATTACAACTTTTCTACACGCTTTTTTTGACATTTTTTATAAAAACTTATTTAAATAAAAACAAAAAAGGCCCTGTTTATACCAATTTATTTATTGTGGCTAAATGATATCCATTTGTAGTAAACTGCTTGACTGTACATTAAAATGAAGCACACGATCAAATTTTTTCCGGAAAACGCTGATATTAACAGCATCATTAAGATTTCTGCCTGCTTCTCCATAAATTAAAACCATTTCTATTTTTGATTTTACTGTTAAAAAATCCATTATGAATACCTAAATGCTCAGGTCTTTTGTTTGCAAATTAATCTTCGAACTAAATAAAATTTATTTTAGTTGCTTCTAAAGTTTCGTTTTTTTTCACCCTAACAAACTAAAACACGAATAAAAAAAATACACGAGTTTTAAATGTAATCTTAATTAAATAAAATAATGTATAAAACTTTAACTTTAGGAAACTTAGATATTAGTACAAAAATACTTTATCAAAAAAAAATCTGATTAATTAAAATAATTATTATAATTATAAAGTGATATATCACACAAAAATTATTGCAGAATGGTATAGATTCTTATAAAAAATTCGTTCTATAGTATACTATTATAAATTACATTTTATTACAATTCATAAAATGACATTTGGACATTCAAATATATTTGGATATTTTCCTTTTTTAAATATATTTTTTTTTTAATTTTTAGCTTATTTAAATTAAACTAATTTTCTTTCTATTATCTTCAAAACAAAAAGGCTAAGCTGTATTAAGGGTGCTGATAAAATTGTACCTTGGCAAAATAAAATAAAAACTGTAATAAATACCTAATTCCGCAGAACGATGTCTCGTCTGAAACCTGGGAGATCTCTGTTGCCGCTGCTGTAAGCAATATCCGTCCTCTTGAGGTAACTTGTCGGACCATGGCCACGGACAATCTAATCTGGTGCCTGTCTGAGGATTAATTTCCTGCAAGTAAATCATTCTGTACACATCGACAGACTAGCAAATAAATAGAAAGAAGAAGACGTCGGTAGTCGGGAGACGCGTCGAGACGTTACAGTAGGTGAACTTAGCACGTTTTGGCGATAGGCTATATGTAAGGTGACACATGACGTTTTTCAATCAAGGACCAAGAAATAAATAAATCCTCGCAAAGAGGATATTATTATTAGATTCGAGATTACAGTTGGGGTTTTATTTTCTAATGGTGTTTAAATGTGCAAGCATGATACAACCTCAATTACATTTTTTTATTTTATATTTTTTATGTTTTACAGAATTTATATTTATTTATTTTAAAACGAAAAAACCTTATACAAAATTATTATGGTTCAATTAAAAACTTAAAGATCCTTGCTTTTCCATTTCTAATTACCCAAAACAACGAAAAACAAATTAAAAAAACATATATTTTGTCTAAAATGTATCAATTTCTTTAAAAAAATTAGTTTCTAAAATATCCAATGATTTATTTTATAATAAAATGGCCTAGCACCATAACCATTTAGGCGATTATTTTTAGTAGTTTTTAATGGTTTTAAAATTCATTTAATTTCAACCTTAGCTGCCTTATTTATGTTGTTTACATAACAACCAATTTTAAACAAAGCACATTTAATGGAAGTTTTGTAAAGAATTTTATTATATCTCAAAGAGGAAACAAAACTCGATCATACACATAAAAAAATCTAACATAGTACCAAGAACAGCGCTGTCATTAAACGCATTAAAATTGAAGCAACCTAAATTGTTATTTGCTCAATTAATTACTATTAAACCAAAATAGGGAACTATTTTGCCAAATGTCAAAGAATTTATTGCGGTAAATGTATACATAGTATACATACTATAGTAAATAAATCAAACAAGTACCTATTTAATGCAATAACATTCTAACATTCTAACAATTAAATATCAATGGATTCAGGAGCGAAAAATATTTTCCTGTTGTTTCATTTAAACAATTAATTAAGATTTAAGTAAATATATAACTCGATATAAGTATGAAATTCAGAAATCTACTCTTAAGTAAGTTAATCCCGGATAATATTATGATCCTTACAAATTCCTAAGACAGTGATATTTTAAGTTGATAATCTAACGTGTCCCTATTATTTACCCAAACGCCTGTAGATGATAAGCTTTTCTATATTTAACTTGTTGTTTGCAATAACATGTTAATTTTAAACAAGAAAATTACAAATAAAAATGTTTAACTATTATAGTTACCTACCTATTAGTGTTATAATTGTTTCTAGTTATTATAGTTTTACTAATTAATGATATTTTACTACAACTAAAGGAGGGTTATTTAAGTTATTCAATATTCAATAGTCTCTACTTATGGAAAATTAAAATTATTTAACTGGTTTTAGTATTTATATACCTATAATTGTAAACGTTACCTACCTTTATTGAATTTTCTCCCTGCAAAAAAAATATTCACATAAACAAAAAATTCAATTATTTTAAAGAAATATAAGATAATTTTAAATAAATATTTAGAAAATGGGATTTTTTTGAACTTTTGAAAAATCTCCTATGCTCACATTTATTATTAGTGTATTTATTGTCTAAGTTTTTAAAATAAATTGAACCATTCAAGTTTTGGTCAATAAATAATGCTTGTGCTCTTTTAGTTATTTTAGTTCCAGTGTTCCAGTGTTCCAAGAATGCCCTACTTATATTAACATAAGTATACTTATAAGTAGGTATATAACCTCAAATATTAAAACCCTACACACGTTCGTAATGCGAACTCCGTATATGAAATTGTAGCATTATTTTATATTCAGCGTAAAATATATGTCTGCAAATTTACAATCATAGATTTATGATATCTATGTACATATGTCATAAATAAATTGACATATCGGGGCCAAATCAGAATATAAAGGAAACTAAAAATGAAATAAAAATATTTTATTTATACATGTAAAGATGTTAACAGTAACCCTGTAATAAAAACATAGATAAGTAATTTTTGACTTTATTTACAAATAAATTTACTTTTTTAAGTCACTTTTCTATTTCCCAGGTCCTTAAATAATAAAGTTTCCTAAAAAATTGATGGTCGGAAAAAAACTATATTTTTCCAGAAAAAAATGGAAAAAACGAAAAATTTGTTTTGTTGTAATCCAGAAAAAGTATTTTAATTGCTAAGCGTGACATTTTTCAATAGGTGGGTCAAAATGAACCACAGGAGCATGTTTTTTTATAATTATTTCAATTTGCAGTATTTTTTATTTATTATCATTTATCGTGAGGGTCCATAAAATAAATTTTATAATTTTTTTTCTTTGGCAATAAAAGTTTAGAAACCGTTGCTTTAGAGAATTAAATTTTAGTATTTCAAATATTATTTCGATGAAAAATGCATTTAAAAATAATTTATAAATACAATTGATACCTTAATTCCTAAAAAATTTAATCCAAACATGTAAACATCATCCAAAATAGAGAAATTGTATACATTTCATCACAAGAATGTCCTTCTTTAGAACAGGATTGTCCTTTAAAAAAAGTAATAATTTGTTGAACATCCCAACTGAAATAAAATTGAATTCGTTTGGCCAAAGAAAGATTGAGCCGAATGCTTTTGAAGGCGAATTGTTTGAAATTTTAGACTGAAAACATTCAATTAAATTTAAAATAATTGATTAATAAAGCTTGAAGAACAATAGCGTAGTCTGCAAGATATTTATACCCACCTTAGTTTATAATTGTTTGTTTGAAGCTATTTCAAGATGAATTGAATTCAATTTCATGTCTTTAATTTATGATTAATAGATAAAATTGTTTTATACAAAAAATTTTGAGTTTATTACTTCCTACTCTGCAATATAGGTAATAATTGCCTATATAATTTAAAAATAGGTCATTTAGTTTCGTTTCATTATCATTAATTTATTTTTTTAAGTTAGTTAATATAGTTGTTCTTTTCTTATTAATAAAAATGCTATAAATAAATGGGAAACAAACAAATGCCGCTAAATCCAAATAAAAAATTAATGCAATAAAATTGATAACATCCCTTGGCATTAGAGTAAGTATTTATATTTTCTTTTATTAAGTGGATAATATAACTTTAAAGTTGAATTGATTTTTAAATTGCACCTTATTTTATGTTTTAATCTATTTCAGATTTACATGATGCAAAACAATAAAACGAAGCGGATCCCTATTTTATAATATAAAAAAATAATTTACCTGAATTTGAGAGTTTCGATGTTTATTATTGGTGGTACTGCTGCTGCGTGTGTTGAACTTCATAAAAACCAAAGGGGCCAACTTGTTGAGAACAACGGTCCTGATAATTTTCGGGACTGCTGATCCACGCACCCCACGATGATAAATATTTAACGTGACCACTGACAGGCCCGAGGCGAACGATACTAAGCAAATGCTAACCCCGTAGTACATACCTGCAAAGAATTAAATTTAAAAATTGTTAAAAATAACTTTGGATTTTTTTTTATTTTAAACTTAAAACTGTTGTAAATAATAGTTATTTATATCATGGGTCCAAGAAGAAGACAAAAAAAAACCTCTGGCCCGAATGACATATCTACAACATTTTAAGTTTTATTGCTTTTCAGACTTTAACTTTAAAGTTAAATAGCCAATTTTATTTTTTAAACGTAGAATTATTAGAAGACAAAAGTAAGTTTAGAATCTGACAAATGTCGAATTTTATAAATAATACAAAAAAGTGATTTTTTTAAAACAGTTTTTCCTATGATATGGCCCAATTACTAATACTTATTGTAAAAGTCTGGAGTTTTTAAACCAGCACGAGATAGCATTACTTATTACGGTTCAATTTAGGTTGTAAGACATGCTATAATACTAAAAAGAAATAGGAATCCAAGACTTTATGTGCCATAAGCAAAAAACACTTGCAGATACAGCAACTTTTCTAAACAATCTTAAAAATTAAAACTTTCAAACTTTTTTATCACCTGACATCATATATCTCGTATTTATAACCAAAATGCTAAAGAAAATTTATAAAAAAAACTACATAATTTCAGTAACTTTGGAACAATATGGTCTTTGTCGGAAAACAAACAATAGGGTGTACCCTAATAATACAACAAAAAAGACACTTACTGATTAACGGTGTTTTTTCGGTAGGGGGTAAAGTCTCACGGATTGTCATAAGAAACACTGTCATAGACAAAAGGGCGCTGATTCCCAATGTTACTTTTTCTCCCGACTCTGATGGTACGTAGAAAACTAAAAGAGCTGTAAGAAAAAATTGTTTAAGTAATTAAATTAGATTATTTCCCTCATTATAATATGAACCAATCAAAAGCCTTAAATTTTCGAATAAATTTCGTTTAAATAAGCGATTAAATCACTAGAACTATTTAACAGCGATTAAATTTTAGCCTCCATTATGGATTTTTGTTTACGATTTTATGGTGTTATTTACAAGTTTTAACAAACATTTTTTAAAAAACAATAAAAAATAAGTTATCTAGTTTACGAAATATCAATTATTACTTATTACATACCTTAAATTAATGGAATTTTCTTTAAAAAAATATTTATAAATTTTGACACATACGTCAGATTTTATGAATTGTCAAATAGTTTCCTTTAATTCGAGAAATAATCTAGACGTATATCACTCAACCTATAAATTTAATCTGTCAAACTATGCTCAGTAAGTTTTTTATTTGATTTTTCTTTTTTGAAAATAGTTTCATGCAAAATAATTAAAAATAAAACCCCTCGACCGCTACGCAGTGTCGTGATTTTATTAAATTATTTTGCATTCAACAAAACAACAAAAACCAAACAAAAAACTACTGAGCCTAGTTTAACCGATTAAATTCATAGTTCTCGTGATATAATTTATGATGAATCGATAAGGATTAAAGAGTTTTTGGGCCTAGTATTTCCTGGAAAATGGATTGAAGAAGGAAAGCTTTGGATTGGCCGGCTAGATCTTCAGATTTGACTCCTATAGACTTTTTTCCGTGGGTCTGTTTAAAAGTAAAATTTACTTCAAAATTTAGAAGGCATTTGAACAAAATTTGCATTTTGATATGAAAGTTGGTGGTTATTGGAACAATTTTAGGTATTAAAAAGTAGATTTATATTTATTTATATTTTTTTTGAAAGCTTTAAAAGAAGGGCAATTATATTGTAAAACGTTTTCATAATAAATTATTTCTGTTTTAATGCCGTTTACAAGAACTAATTAAGTAGCTATATTCAAAATGGTGTTGTATATTTTATGCAATTAATTAGCTAATTTACGTTGTTTATTTGCAAAACTCTCTAATTGCATTTTGAAATAATAATAATGAACAATCAGGTAGGGCGACGAGAAGTGGGTGTTAAATAAAAATATATTAAACGTTCTTTGCATTGTTGAAACTACTACACAGTATAAGAAAATATTGTAACATAATAAATTGAATTTAACTGAGGTCAAGTTCAATATTGCCCTTGTTCCTTGTTTGTGCTACTCAACCTCATCGTGTTTATATTAAGGAATGTTTAAGTGCCTAAAACAAAACCGTCTTTGGCCTCATGTTTGCCCTAAATCTTGTCATAACACTGTTTTAGATTAATTTTATAATTATTAAGACTTTTAATTAACATATGGCTTTTTACATAATAATATTACGCTTGTAATATATTTTTGAAAACCTATTTATTTATTTATTATACATCGAAAACTTTTGGGATTACGTCACTTTGATTTGGATACAACCTGTAAACTTACTTGTACAAACAAAAAGTAATAATAAAGTTCTTTAAAACTTGTTAAAACTTTTGTTCATGAAATCTCTTGATCTCTTTTTAGAGTCCTTTAATATTCCTATTCTGTTTCTTGTTAGTGGACATACCTCTTAAAAATGTAGTATAAACCTAAGAAGATATACACACATAAAAAAATCTAACATATTACCAAGAACAGCGCTGTCATTGAATGCATTGAAATTGAAGCAATCTAAATTGTTATTTGCTCAATTAATTGCTATTAAACCAAAATAGGGAAACATTTTGCCTGAATGTCAAAGAATTTATTGCGTTAAATGTATACATAGTATACATAATATAGTAACGTTATTAAATAAATCAAATTAGTATTTAATGCAATAACATTCTAACATAAAATGAAAATAAATATCAATAGATTTAGGAGCGATAACTTTTGTTGTTAATTTAAAAACAGTAAATGATTATAAACCAAGTGCTAACTATCTATTGGTATTATAGGAATAAAGTATAACAATAAGATATAAGTCTGCATTAAATTAAAAAGTAACAATTTTAAGTGGTATACATAACTCATTTCTCTTTAAAATTAAATTTGGGGGTTTGATGATTAAAGTAGGTATAATGAAAAGGTCTAAGCAGGGTGCTAGTAAATTTGGGGTTTTTTGAGACCTGATGTAAGGCGTGTTTTAAATTTTGTAGGTCATCCAGTAAATATTTTTTTATTTTTTAGTGGCTTTATGGTAAAAGATAAATAAATTTTTGACTTTAAGAAAAATTTATCCACTATTGGTTTACTGGAATTCTAGCAACCATTCCATAAGGAATTTGTAAAAAAATATATTAAAAAAAATCAACTAGATTAAAACTTCTCAGTGAAACTTTATCTCGCAGAAAATGACAAAATACTTATGAATACTTACCTATGCCATTGATGAGTATGCAGGGCAGTATCAAATTGAAGACGTAAAACAGAGGCCTCCTTCGCAATTTTATTGTGTACGTTATGTCAGGATAAGGCTCAGGACAGCAGGAATAGAACACAATGTGCTTTTCCGATGAGAAGCTCAACAGATCAAATTCCCCATTCGCCTGATAGTTGCTTACGTCTCCTTCTTCGGTTTGTTTTACAAGCTCAACCTAAAAAAACAAATTGCGAACGCTGTAAAAATGGGAAATAATGATTTTTATGTAAAAGATTTTAAGTCTCTTATAATAGACGTTTATCTGACTTCCCCTATAGGGATAGTATACTAATTAATTTACATTGCGGTTAAAAAATATCTGAGTTAACAAAATAATAATACAATAAAGCAATAACATAGTTAAAATGATATTTCTAGTATTAACAAATACTAAATACTATATATCAACAAATGTTTTTAAATTGCCATCACCATTTATTGTTTTTTAATAGCTGCCATAACTTGTAAAATTTTAATATTAAAGCCATAGGAAAAACAAAAGATGGTGGTGTTAACTTAAATCTAGTAAGCGACAAAAATTACAAATTGGATAAAAATATAAGTAATGTTTTAGTTTACAGGTAAAATTTCCAGGAATAACGAAGTTATAACGATATTTGGGTTGTCTTTCAGTTTTTTTAATTATTTTTTCTATAATTTTTAAATAACCTTTTATAAGAATTGTAATTATGCAATTTTTTTTTAATTCAAAAAAATAAAAAAGAATTTAAAAGTAAAACCCGACAATTGCATTCTGAAATTGTAAAACATGGTATTAAAGGCAATATTATTATAAATATATAAAACTATAGATTTACGTTTATTGTTTTTTACTAAAAATTTTAAAATGCATTGGCATAAAAAAACTCATATTAACTTTTTTTCTTAAATAACCATAGTAATTTTTGAATTTAATTAGTTTAGAAATTCTGACCCATATTGTAATTTTCTCGAAGATTGCAAAAATATATTTCTCAAAATAATCTGAACGTGTTGCCAAAATAATAGGGCGTTGCGTTCTTAAATCGCACACACTGTATATACATGTAGTATCTACATGTTCATGTGAGTTAGTACGTATAGTTGCAAAGGGCTAAAAGTACATCGAATAAAAAACATTTATAGGATTGAATAGATCGAAATCCTGAGCGAGTAACTCTAATTCCAAATGAGATAACAGGAATCTCTATATGTTGTCGGTTATATTCACTGACTGATTTTCTAAAGGATGCCATATTGGTTTTAAGAATTTAAATTTTTTCAGTACAATAGAACTAATTTTGGTTTTATTAAATATAAATTAAAGGATATGCAGGTTATCATTTCCTTATTTTATAAATAAGGTTACAAAGTTTTTCAGATTTATACCCAAAAAATAAATAAAGACAATTTTTACACAATTATTTAAGTAAAATTATAATAGAAAGAAAGAAATCCTCTATACATGCAAAATAATTTGGAATACTTAATTAAGTTTATCGACGTAATAAAATTCTAGTTACACAGGTGGCATTTGAGAAAGTTTCAAAACTTTAGAGCAAGTTTAATAATTTAATTAGGCAAGCTATTGGTAAAACAATTTCCAAATGTAAAACTTATATATGCACATATGTTTGGAAGAGAGGATACTAAGAACACTTAGTATTTAATAGTATATTATGTTTCAAATTTGATAAACTCCATTTTAGTCATTTAATTAAACACTCGCTCGCAAGCTCACTCGTGCCTTATTAAAATTCGTGTCTAAAAAAGTTTATATACGAGTTACATACTATTATTTTTCTACTACAAATTCTCATTATTATCAAAAAATGTATTTAATTAAATACTTGTATAGGGCGTAAGAATTTCCTGCTTGGAAATCTGTATTACCGAAATGTATCCCTTAATAATGGACTAACAGCCATTTAAAACTGATATAATAGCAGTTTTTTATAGTGTGAAGGGAATGTTTTATGGGCACTTCACTGTGTTAAATCTAGTTTACCTAAATAGGTATAATAATAATAATAATAATAATAATAATAATAATAATAATAAAAATAATAATAATAATAACTGTCAACTAACTTAAAACTTTAGCCCGTGACCAAAAACCTGTTGCTAACTTCAGCCCATGACTAAAACCCCATAAAGCCACAACTTCTCAATGTGTATTTAAAAGATAACCTAATGTTATGAAAACATGTACGATAATGGGCATTTTAAAGGTGAAAGTAGAAAAATAAATATGCATGAGCAAGGATTCGCTGCCAACACAATATTCAGTTTTGCTTATCAATTTTAAAAAATATTTCGTTTTTGAAAATCGACGTTTTTAAAAACCTATACATATATGAATATATTTTTATCGGATGCTCAATTTTCCCCTTGAAATTTATCACGTCCAAAAACATAATAGAAATGTGTCGCCGAATATATTTCAGTACGCTCAGAAGTAAGTGCAAGTTTTTGCGAGATGTCATATCTAAAATTAATTACCGAAGTTTTTTACTTTGTGGTGTAACACAACAGTTACAAGTATCTTAATTAATGATCCTTAAGAATGATAAATTGATTAAAAATTTGTATAAAAATTGGAATAACGTTAAAAAATAAATTAACTAAAATGTTAACCAAGCTAGGTTACACACAAAAGATAAATTGTTTTTAAATTGCCCACTTTTTAGATATATAGTAGTTAAAAGACATTTACAAAGTTTTAAAAAGATTGTCCGTCTGGTTTCCGAGTAAAAAAATATTAAAGTTGTTAAGACTACACTGGATGTTATTGTTTATTATAGCTAAACTGTTTTAAAAATAACTTAAGAATTATTTATTTATTTTTTTACAAAAATGGCGAATGCGCCGGGATTAATATTTAAAGTTTGTATTATGACGAAATATGTGAATGCAAAATATTACTAATATGTACTTATAATACAAATGCCAAAAAGATAAAATAATAAATTTGGAGAAGTTTAAAATGTTATATTTAAGACACAACAGATTTAAATTTCTTAGTAACATTTTATTTTTTAAAAGTTTAATAGTACTACATTATATAAAATATTATTTTACATTATATTACATGTAACTATGTATGTCAAATATTATGTAAAAAAATTTTTGTTTTGCAAAAAAACATTTTAAGATGTATGGCTGGCAAAAACCAATTTTTTCCTTGTAAAATTTTATTTAAATTCATTAAGTTTCTAACTTTAACTTGCTTATATATATAAAACATAATTCTATACATATACAACATAAAACATTTACTACAATGTTATGGAAATTTACATCCCTACGAAACAAGAAATAAAAAAACTTGTATTAGCCTTATCAATAAGTCAGTCTAGCCACATATACCAAGGTATTAAATTTTATTATAACATAATATGTTACAAAATGTACATAGTTACATGTAATATTATGTCACATTATATTTTATATTATATTATATTTTATGACGAAATGTATATATATATATACGAGTATATATATTATATATACTCGTATATATATATATATATATATTAGGGTGATTCATTTCCGCAAAGTTTTTGTTTTCTTCGGTGCTCAAGCAAAATATTAATCTGCATATAGAAAAAAAAATTCACAACAAGTTTGAGCTCTTAATATCAATTTTAAGTACTTGCAGTTTAAATTTAAAGTTTTCCCATTTAAAATGCATGTAAAAAAAATGTTTTTTTTTTTCAAATTTCTAATGCTTATCCACCTTTGACAATATTGCAAATCGGTTTAATACACCTTATGGGGAATTCCACGCTCTTTAAAATTGCTTTTGAGGTTTTTTTTGTAACTCGCATTGGTTCACCAGTAGGAGTCAAAGGACAGTTTTTGAAAAAAATCGATTTTTTTTTTAATTTTTTTTAACAAACCGCAAAAAGTAGGGAGAAAAGTTTTTGTTTTCTTCGGTGCTCAAGCAAAATATTAATCTGCATATAGAAAAAAAAATTCTCAACAAGTTTGAGCTCTTAATATAAATTTTAAGTACTTACTATTTAAATTTAAAGTTTTACCGTTTAAAATGCATGTAAAAAATATATATTTTTTTTAAATTTCTAATGCTTACCCACCTTTGACAATATTGCAAATCGGTTTAATACACCTTATGGGGAATTTCACGCTCTTTAAAATTGCTTTTGAGTTTTTTTTTGTAACTCGCATTGGTTCACCAGTAGGAGTCGTCAAAGGACAGTTTTTGAAAAAAATCTTTTTTTTTTTATTTTTTCGAGCAAATTGCCAAAAGTAGTGAGAAAAAAGGGCTGATTCATAAAAAAAAAAGTTATCCAACCAATATTTAATGAATTTACTGCCATTTTTATAACTGAAAACGTAAGAAATTGATAAATACCAACCTATAATGTTATTTAGATTGATTTTTTCTATTTATTATCATTATATTTCCCTCACTCATAATGAATATGAAAACAACACATAAATTCATAAAAAAAAACAACAAAACTTTAATCGGAATATACAGAAGGTTATGTAACATATTTCAAATTTCGCTTCAAAAAATTAAATAATCTTCATTTATATTTTTTTGCTATTTTTTTATGAATTTATCTGTTGTTTTCATATTCATTATAAGTGAGAAATTAATAATTTTAAAAAACTTCTTAGTGTAGGGAAATATAATGATAATAAATAGAAAAAATCAATCTAAATAACATTATGAGTTGGTAATTATCAATTTCTTACGTTTTCAGTTATAAAAATGGCTGTAAATTCATTAAATATTGGTTGGATAACTTTTTTTTATGATTCAGCCCTTTTTTCTCCCTACTTTTTGCGGTTTGTTACAAAAAATTAAAAAAAAAAAAACGATTTTTTTCAAAAACTGTCCTTTGACGACTCCTACTGGTGAACCAATGCGAGTTACAAAAAAAAACTCAAAAGCAATTTTAAAGAGCGTGAAATTCCCCATAAGGTGTATTAAACCGATTTGCAATATTGTCAAAGGTGGGTAAGCATTAGAAATTTGAAAAAAATATATATTTTTTACATGCATTTTAAACGGTAAAACTTTAAATTTAAATAGTAAGTACTTAAAATTTATATTAAGAGCTCAAACTTGTTGAGAATTTTTTTTTCTATATGCAGATTAATATTTTGCTTGAGCACCGAAGAAAACAAAAACTTTTCTCCCTACTTTTTGCGGTTTGTTAAAAAAAATTTAAAAAAAAAACGATTTTTTTCAAAAACTGTCCTTTGACTCCTACTGGTGAACCAATGCGAGTTACAAAAAAAACCTCAAAAGCAATTTTAAAGAGCGTGGAATTCCCCATAAGGTGTATTAAACCGATTTGCAATATTGTCAAAGGTGGATAAGCATTAGAAATTTGAAAAAAAAAACATTTTTTTTACATGCATTTTAAATGGGAAAACTTTAAATTTAAACTGCAAGTACTTAAAATTGATATTAAGAGCTCAAACTTGTTGTGAATTTTTTTTTCTATATGCAGATTAATATTTTGCTTGAGCACCGAAGAAAACAAAAACTTTGCGGAAATGAATCACCCTAATATATATATACATTTCGTCATAATACAAACTTTAAATATTAATCCCGGCGCATTCGCCATTTTTGTAAAAATATTCCAAAGGTTTTTTTATTGATAAGCCTTCATAAAACATCACATTTGTTTTGTTTACCCATATTTTTGCGAAAATGTATTATTGGCACACTAGGGCGTGAATAAACAAAGTAAATTGACAATTTTATTTTGACACAACGTATGCCACAAAAAACTAAAGTATTAATTTTATTTATTATAACAAAGTTGTAGGAAAAAACTTGTATGCATTTTGTGCGCCAAATTGGTCATTCTAAATAAACAAAGTTAAATTTTGTGTGTATAAACTAAAATGTAACTAAGAAATAGATTTTTTAGATTTAAAAATAAATAACGAGGTTTGACAAAATTTAAACATTACTAATAACAGTGAAGTAGTCATCCTACTAAGGTTACGTTGCCTAATTTACTGCCAGTACTGTCAGTACTAAAAACGTATTCCAAAAGTATTTCAATTCGCCATCCTGTATAAACATTTACCCATATAATACTTTTGGGATGTAAATGTTTAAGAAATCTTAATCGATATTTTGATTGGAGCTGTCGTGGCCTGTTGTGGCTTTTTGTTTCGCGGCGACGAGGTCTTGTTAGGGGCGAAAATTATTATTGTGTCGGTTCAATAGATATACATTTTGATATTGTCGATTCATCAGTTTACTTGCTTGGCTTAATGCTGACACAAGCCTTTACTTACGATTGCAAATTGCTTTCAATAAAAATACTCGACAACCACTTTGAAAATGCTAATAGTAACGGATTTGTCGATTTTTAGCTTTATCAGTGAATAAATATACCTACTAAAACTTTTTATTAATGTTACTGTTTACAAAAGATTAATATATATATTTATATATGCTAAAGGCTTGTTTTTTTTAAAAAATTCGTTTTCATGCCTAAAGGTTTTAAAGAAACCCGATTTATTGTAAAAAAAATTTACCTCCTTCTCTAAAGTAAAACATACGTTGATATGAGTTTTCATATAATTTTACAATCCTACCACTTTACGTTTCATGTTAACAAAACAGATTTATGAATAGCCAAAAGCCCACATTTGTTTTATTCAAGTGACTTTTGTAGCTTTGCTAGACCTTGTAAGAGCCTTTAAAAATTATGTACTTTTACAATTAGTCCTTTGAAACATGGTTTTATTCTTATAACTTACTGTTGTTCCAAATATTTTTGGTATTTATGTTTTACAGTACATTTAAAAATTCTAAATAATAATAAATTTATTAATCCCTTAGGCTACAACAAGTAGAAGAGACAAGTTAATATAAAATTAAAATATATACATTTAAAGTAATTTAAGATTTGAAAGCCAAAAAATTAAACTTTAATCAAATTTAAGTAACTTTCTTATGAACCCAATTAAAGGCTTCAATTTAATAGTAACCATTTCATAAATTATCTTTGAAACTCTTATTTGAATATTTACTTTTAATTTAAAAAGTTTTGTAGGAAATTAATTATAATTTAAAAATAAATTATAATTAGGTTTCGAAATTCATATTTTAGAGTGTTGCATTTTGTCTTGTGGTTAAAATTTGCATTTTAAAATACCTTGTCTAGACTAAAATAACAACTTTTATGTAACTACATTGTAAAAATGTATTCTAAAATTGAACACCTTAAGTTTTTCCTTTAATTTAATCCTTATCATCTGAAATTCCCTTTGTCGCGTTTTTGTTAAAGTAAAGTGTGTTGTAACATTACTGAGGATACATTTGGGCATGTTACAGGAAGAAATAATATTATTTAAGTCTTTTTACTTCCCATTTAGGCCAAGTAAATTTGTTTTTAGGTGATACGATTTGGAGTAATTTATCCCTTTACCATTTGTATACGTTTAAAAGTAATATCATGATCTAAAATAAACTCAATTTTAAAGGAAAACTTAAGCAACATGGCCGGGCCTCCGACGAATTTAGTTCCCCATGGGGGAAATTATTTTTTAGAGAATATTAACTAATAAAAATATTTGTCGTAGAAAAAGTATAGTATGCAACTTGTTTATAAACTTTTCTAGGCACTCGTTTAATTAAGCACTTCCTTGGTGATTCATCTAACCGATTCATTATTGGTTTTAGGAAAACTAAAATAGACATCAATCTGAAATTATGGTTGCAGCTATAATAGCCCGATGTGATCTATTTTTCTATTTTTTTTTAACTGAAAAGCTATAAATATTATTGCATTTTTTAATTCTAGGTACGTAAAATTCCAAAGCTATTAAAAACTGAATTGTTTTCCGATATTTCCTATATTTTTTAAGATATTTTTTTTTTAATTTTGAAAGACCAACCAAAAAGTTAATTCATACACGTTAACAATACAATTTTTACACCATTCGACGAGCTAAATTATTCTCAATTAATATGTTGTAGCATACCCTATATCTTAAATGATATATAATATTTACAAAGATTAACAAAAATTTATCACCTGAAGCAGTAGAAATCAATCACCGACAACTGGGATGACACTTAGGGGCCATCCACTTGATTGATAAGTCCGTAAAAAATGAGATGAGCAAATAATATGGCGTTAGAATTTAATACAAGGCGTAGCAAAAATCATCCTTGTTTCAATTTTTAATAAAAGTGGTCCACCTGTTTCAAAACTATTTAAATTAGAGAGTCTGGAGTATGGAGGTCTTAAAAACATAGAAATTGGTATATTTATAAAATAAGTTTTTAAATATCGAAGAATTGTCTTTAATAGTAAAACATCGATATATCAAATAAAAAAATTTTATAACCTTAAATTTTTAGTTTTGTCTATTAAATATGTAAAGTAAAAAAACAAAAGGAAGTAACAAATTTTAAATTTATCATTGTAAGGGGAACTTTTCTACTTAAAATAATGCGTATATAAAACCGTGATCTGATGAAATATGTCACCCTTAAATGCTACCTACGAGACATATCAACGCGATCTTCAATTTTAAATATCTTTTCTTCCACGAGAGTTAGAAGGGAGATGCTCTTTATAGCCCTCGCTTAAAACATTTTTTCTACTCCCACCTTTAAAACGCCCTTTATCGTATGTTTCTATGACACTAAGTGACCTTTTAAATACACATCGACAAGTTGTGGCTTTATGGCGCTTTAGTCACGGGCTGAAGTTAGCAACAGGTTTTTAGTTACGGGCTGAAGTTAGTTTTAAGACAGTTGTCAAATGTCATACAATCGTTAAAATAAAGTCCATTTCTTGTAAAATAATACTAAATGTGAAAATTATTTTATTATCTCAATACAAAAATACAAAAGTATTAAATAGTTTCTCAACAACAATATTTGAAAAGTTTATATGAACATTGCACTGACCTTTTAATTTCGCCGGCAGTAAACTATAACTTAAATTCGGACACGGACTCCACTGTAAAGTGCTCATAAAACATTTTCTTTACTTTCACTGTGAAAAACTGTCAATTACCAAGAAATACATTTCGATTTATAATCTTTATAATCTGTGTTTACAAAATAAAAAAATTGACATTTGACGGTGACACACAGATTCCCATATTGTTTCATAGATGGCGCTCTACACTAGTTTTTGAGTTAAATCATTTTAAGATAATAATAAGTATTTGTCATAGAAAAAGTATAGTATGCACCTCGTTTATAAACTTTTCTATACACGAATTTAATTTAATATATGTATATAATATATATATATATATATATATATATATATATATATTTTGACTACTTTGTAAAAAAAGAAAAATTTTCACAGCATAGAATAAGAATACAGTTTGTGTAGAATCTCTAGAAATGGTAGGAAACGTTGTGGTTCTAATTCATATTGAAATAGGTTAATATTTACTAATACACTTCATCTTAAATTGTTTTAATAAAGAAATTAACTAATATTACTCTACTATTCAGTTTATTAGTAAATATTAACACATGCCATTATTATTTGCTGCTTGTAGACATCTCAATTATCTGTAACAATATGTTAGGAGGTTTGTTGTTTCTGCTTTGATACAGCCTGCCTGCATTTGGATTCAATTATACACACGTCGATTTCGGTGTGACAACACGTTAATATGGTAAAATCGTTAACGCACCTGCCACGTTTGCTGGTTTATTCCCTTTGACTTCCGCACCATCGGTTACCCTTTAAGGCTTTAATTAAAAGATAAAAACCAATGTTAATTAAATTCTTTTATTGTCAGAAAATCGTTAAAAATATAGAAAATCAGTGAGTTGTACTTAAAGTGTTCTTTCTATATTTAACAAAGACTTTGTTTATAATCAGTGTTACACCTATCAATTTGATTTCAAAAAGTCATTTTTTTGGCCAAAGGATAACTTTTAACGTGTTGTGTTTAACTTTTTAATAGAAGAAGTAATTAGGTAATTAGTGACAAAAGTATTAAATTATAGCCAAGCTCTGATTGATACCCACTAGTTACTGTCATTTTAACTCTTAATTAAAAGATAAAACCTTTTAATTAAATTCTTTTGATGCCTAGCATGCACCAGGGACTAATTTATACTAAAATTAAAGTGTTGGATGTTTTGTCTCCTTGCCACGTACCTGATAGCCGTCGTAAGTCCACGAGGCCCATTTAAGTTGACAACTCTGGAGGTCGAAAGGAAAGTATTCCACGTTGATGTCACAAGACGAGCGATATATGCCGTGACTGAGCCACACCACTTCACCATTGCTAGACACTATCACGTTCGTGTTTATCACTGAAGATTGAAACTGAGGATCGGCACTGAAATAAAAAATATTTTGTTATAGTGGTAATAAGTTTTTTCATCCTATAAACCTAATAATATTTGCTCATGTGTTTGTGGCGTTAAAAATAAGTGGTTGTGCGTTAGTAAGAGAACGATAGAAATAAATAAATTTAATATATCGGCCCCCTACGATGACGGATTGGCTATTTTTAGCAACCTATTTAACATGGATATCAAACGAAAAAATAAATTTATAAAATTTACAAAAAAATTTAAATTATTAAAATTTTAATTTAATATTAAGTCTTTATACCATTTTTAAAATCCGCAAAGTACATTTCTTTGTGGCATTTATATATAAATTAATTAATAATTAATTAAAAAAAGTTTTATGGAAATATAACGCAATACCAATTTAATAAACGTTATTTTATTTTAACCATAAAAATGGCGTTCGTTAAATTGTATAAAAAAATACATGCTTTTTTACAAGTGGATGCATTCAATTATAGTAGCCTTTTCAATATAACATTTAATATTTTATATTTATTAGAGCTCCCAAATATTAAATAATTTTAAATTAAAAATATTTACCCAAAATGTATAAGATTTTTTTTGTTATATTCTTAAATTTAAAAATACATTTTAAAACTAAAAAGCCCAAGTCATAAGGGCGACCAAAGATGCTTGAATATTCGGAGCTTAAAGTTGTAGTAGTGCACTTACTTTGACAAATGTAGTTTTAATCGATAGAGCATCTTTTTATCAAAAATAATAAAAACCCATAAACCATTTGTGGCGATTTTCTGCCATACCACATATTTAATTTGATTTTCAGACGCACAAAACTAAATTGTCGAATGAGTTTATAAGGGAGATGTAAAAGGTTTTTCGTAAAAAGCCTAATGGCAATTTACGATCTTTAGGTGAATACAAAACCGTATTGCATTTCACCCTCTTGGGCAATAATGCAGAAATGTTTGGAAAAAGTCGAAACTGTTTATGAAAATAAATTTCCGGTTTTAATGCGAGTTAATTTTTATTCGATTAAAAGTCGGTGGCACTTTAAGGTGGGTAATATAAAAGTATTGCTAATGTTAATTTTACTATAAATCAGTTTTTTGTTATTTATTGATACAACGAAAATTTAATCAAATAATTTTTGTTCACGCATCTTTTAATTAGAATTGTTTGTATAATTTCTTATAATAATATACAATCATTATAACAAAAATTAAAAATATATACAGGGTTAAAATGGGACATACATTTCATATAAGGATTCTAAGGTTTAACTTTAAAACATAATTTTAATTAAAATGTGTCATTTGAGAACGTAATAGGCAAACTTCAACATTTTCTAGAGGCAAATTTCACTTACTTATTTCATAATTACTTCTGAAATAGTTACCAACATTCAAACAACTGGAACTTGTTGTAAGTTAGTGTTTTAAATATTGTTAGGAAAATAATACTATATTGTTTGTTAACTGCTTCAGAGCTTGTTATGGAATGAGTGAAATTTGCATTCCGAAAAAAAGTTTGTAGTTACTGACAGGGGGTGCTTAGTACACATACTAATTACTTTTAATCAGATATCGTTATGACTGTTTTAACTTTAATATATGATCTAAAAATTACAATAGATTAATATTTGTGAAATGTCGCTACTGTGAGCCTTTTAGAAAAAAACATAAAAATTTCTATTAAAATCTCGAATAAGAAAAAATAACCAATCATTTATTTTCATACAAAAACTCAACAATTATTGCGAATTCCAAATAAAAATATAAAATAATTGGTTGTTTTCTGTAATTTTAAAAATCTTAAATTTAAAACATTCTAATAAAAAATATGAGTAAACAAAAAATATAATATTCATCTTTTTATGGCAGTTATAAACCACATTTTCATTATTATATCTCATATAACGCCAAAAATAAATACAAACGAATGTGAAAAAGGGTATTGTGTTTGTGCACTGTTCTTTTTTAGAAGGCTTTATTTCTATGAATTATTTGAACCTTTATTCATATTTATAAATATTTTTGTCAAAAATATATTAAAACAATACAATAAAGTACAATATTCGTAATATTTCACTTGGCAAATTTGTTTAATATAATATATTTAAAATATATTGAACGAAAATAGAATTAATATGTTTTGCGTTATTGGATTAGGGATAAAGGTACCAACGTTCCATATATTATCCTAACACTTTTAACCAAATTAAAATCCAATGGAAAAAGCTATATCGATTATAGTTGCTATATCCAACAAGTATATAAAAACAGAGATGAGATAATTGAATAAAAATGATTACGAATGTAAATCGAAAAAAATTAAAAGGTATCCTGTAAAAAGCAGACTCATTGAATTAGTAGGACTGGAAAAAGATTTAAAATGGTAGACATATTGGATAACATGTTTTTTCTACTACTATTGCATAATAGTTCCGGGAATATTATAAACATATTTTAAACATTATAAATTCCCTGCCTAACAACGGGAATAATGAACTCGTTGTCAGGCATTAATGATTGGCCGATTTTAAAATTCACTGTGATTTGAACCATTTGTAGTTGGTTTATTTAAATGTATTTTTATATATTTATTTATAAATAAATGATTAAATTTTAAAACCTAATAGATAAATAATAAATTATTAGTTGTGTACCAATAAAATATCAAACAGGAATTAAAATAATAATTTTAATTATAGTCCCCTTTCTTAGAATAAAATTTGTCACTATATCGAATATTAATCCCGGCGCATTCGCCATTATTGCAAACATTATTTAAACCATGTTTGCAATAATGGCGAATGCGCCGGGATTAATATTCGATATAGTGACAAATTTAATTCTAAGAAAGGGGACTATAATTAAAAATATTGTTTTAATACCTGTTTGATATTTTATTGGTAATATACATTATTTTTATAAGGTTGTAATTATAAAGTTGAAATATCATTGATTGATCCTCACTCTATGGAAATATTAACATTTTTAAATCACAGTTGATGATTTAATCACCTAATTTGATTGTTTTTCAAATGCTGCTTGCTTTCCAAACTTTGCTACCACTAAAACCTATTTTTATGAGCCGAGATCCATTAGATATATCGCAACCGCAAAGTCATAAATTACGACTTCAAACGATTGATTAAATCGCGTTTGTTTGGGCATAAAAAACATGGAAGCGCGCACTTACTTGTTGTAAAGGATTAAATCGGGTCTCCAGACGCGATTGTACGGGATCCTGATCACTTTAATCCCAGCGAAATCGGAAACGTTCCATTTCAGATGGTGATCCACCCATATCTGGGTTATCCAGCAGTTTGTGGTTAGAATTTGGTTTTTTTCGTCCTGTAATTAGAGAAAATTATAGCCTAATTTAAATGAATTTAATTTAAATAAATAAATGTATTTCTTTTCTCAAAGGCACATATTTAGTGAGAGAAATCAAAGTCATTAAAATCGAACAAAAAGTTTGACAAATTTACGATTATAATTATAATTATATTTTAGGCAGCTGGACCAGTGTTATGATCTAGGATCAGAACCAGTTTGTTGACGTGTAATTTTTTTCGTTATAAATACTCCAGCATACCCTATATCTTCAAAATGAAGGGGGTTTTCCTTAAAATCACATATTGTAGACTTTAGACAACCATGTATATATTTTAATGATCTCCTTTCGAGCGTAAACTTTATAAATATTCCTCGTTTAATTTAAGGTTTTCCTATAATTTATGACTTACGACATCGATAATGTGGTGCAAAGACACGCCGAAGATGACACTCAAGGGTAAGGAAGAGTTAGATACGGGTCGAACGGCCGCATCGTAATTTGTCATCAGGTGTCGCATAAGTCTCGCTTCATTTTCGTCTGCTCTGATTAGGGAAAGTCCTGAAACAAAATAACGAAAGTAAATCTCAGAGGTTAAGTGAAATAATATGCTTATAGAATTTGGATTTTATAAACCCTATTAGAATTTATTTTATGCAAAAAAGTATTTCTAATGCTTTAAATTATTTATAAAAAATATTAGTACCTACATATAATATATTATAATATAATATATATTATATTTTAATAAAATATATTAATAATTTTCAAATAAGTTCTGCTTCAGTTAAATACTATAATTTTACTTTTAATATCATAATACTAATAATAATAATCCTAGCAATTGCCTTTAAATTTTGTTTGGTCCGTTTATTAAACATAATACATAAAACTTTTTAATTTTAGTCTATTATAAAAGTGTTGACAAATTTTAGAGAGGTTCTTTTAAAGTTTTTTAAGTAAACGATCCTTTCTTTGTAAACTTGATATTAAACATTAAAAAAGATTATGTTGGAAAAATATAATGTTGTACAAAAAACATTGTAGGCAAGAATACGCTTATAGTATAAGCTTAATGTTTATTGAAATAAAATTAACCTTAGGCCGGAATTAATAAAAAAATATTTTAATTACTCTAACGAATATTAATGAAGAAACTTGGCATTTCTTAACTACCTCTGAATAAAAACAAAAAATATTTTCATTTTGCAAGCTTTTAATTTTAATTACCCTTTTATTTAAGCGCCGCTTACGTAGGACCTAAATTGAAAAGTACCTTATAAAAATAATAATAATTTAGGTATTTCTCTTTGAGTTTCTTTATATTTTTTTATTAGACATTGTTAGGTGAGCTTTTTAATCAAAATAAAAAATAAACAAGAGTTATTACAAATAAGAGATTTTTACCAATATTTAAAGCAAAATGTTTTACTCTACTTTATTTTGAAAAGGCTAAAAATAAATATACGCAGCAAATTGGTTCAGTTTTTATTGACGATCCACTGAATTCTATCAAGCAAATTCTGGACCGACTAACTTTTGTAAAATACTTTCCTAATTTCCGATTAATTTCTTCTGATTGATCGAATTTTTTAACAAGCCATTTATCAACGTGCTTAATACAATTTATCAATTCTTCGAGTTTGGTGATTGATTGTATTACATTTTAATACACCCGGAAATATAAAACAATCAGTGAATTTTAGGAAAGTTTTAACAAAAATATGATAATTTTTTTTTAATTTTAACCAGATTAAATTGCAATCTACTTATTTTTTATTTAACAAAATATACTTTTAGGCTTTTTAAATAAACTACCCAACTAAAATAATCAAATTGTTGTAAAATTGTTAATTAAAATATTATTATTTTGGTTAACTTTGAAATATAACATCTTTATTTTTAAACACATTAAATGTCTAATTGAACAAAACTTTATATATTTTAACAAGAGGATGGTCACTAAAAAATCCGTTAAATTGTGCTGTGGGGCAACTATTTCTTAGCCTGAAAGTAATAACTTTAAAAAATACAAAAACGTTGTAAATGTGTCTTTTACGCATGTGGGGATTTTGAAATGCCAACGTACAATTAGTACTAGAAAAATACTACAAAAGCATGACATACAAAAACAACAACAGAAACAAAGATTGGGTATAAAAAATTAGATTTAAGGTTAAGTTTTATAAACGCCATTTTCGTTACGAGTTTTATTAGGCACAAGCGAAGCTTGCAAGCGAGTGTTTAATAAAAACGAGTGTCTAGAGAAATTTATAAAACGAGTTGCATATTATACTTTATCTACGACGAACACAAGGAAGAATTAAAAGGCAATTTTATTTATTAAACATTTCATCTGTCAACTGTCAACTGATTTAACCTCACTTTTTTCCAATTTATAATAAAGCTAATTCCAGCCTGTGACTAAAATGCCATAAAGTCACAGCTTATTTTGGAGAGTATAGAGATAAAAATAATTATTAAATATTTTAAAATTACTATAAATTAAATATTTATTTATTTAATTAAACATAATTTAACGATAATCAACAAAAGATTTATTTCCTGTGAAGGGGACATATAAATCGGAGTTATAACGTTTTGTTAAAAAAAAAATAAAGAAAAATCGTTAATTAACTAACCCTTAAAAAGTATTGTTATGAAACTCGTAAAATCGTTTGGGTACATTCAACTGCTAATGAGGTAAGTTAACAATAGATGTGAATTGATTGATAATAAATTGATATAATAATTTACTTTTTTAAAGTCTAGAATCTACCCTCTAGACTATCAATTATATTGTATAAAGAACTAAGGCCGATAATTGATTGATTTTAAGCAACTTTTTTGGAATGGAAATTACAAAATGTTTCTCGTAAATATATAACTATAACAATGGAGCATTATACAAAAAAACAGCAATTAATTTTAGTTAAAAAGAAATAAAAATAAAAATATTTTATCTCCACGCGGTCTATAATTTAAACTTTATTGTTGTCAACATTCGATAAAGAAATACCTTGTTATGGCCTAGGCCGATAAAAATTTTTATGAGGCAAGTAATTAGTTCGATTTTTTCTCGCTAGGGGTATTGTTTTGACAAATTAATCCTTTTCTAAGAAATTAACGTACTAAACTGGTTTAATTTATTTATAATAAGCACTAATTTGTTTGTTTTACTGTTATAACATTATAATGGTTAATATTTTTCATTAAATTATTGTAAAATTAAATATGAATAATAAAACAAAAAGTGAGGTTAGGACATTGCAATTTGACGTTTCACAGTTGTGTTTTCTTTTTCTACGATTTAAATTATCTTTAAATTTTAATTTGCTTTAAGTTTTCAGTAAAATTAAATGTTAAACACAGCGTAAACATTCCAAACTACCTATTTTTTTAATAAAAATGCAAACAAATTGAAATTAGATACCTATTTATTAAACAATTAATTGAATTCAATGTAATAGCAAGAGGGTAAGTAAACCATTTTCGTACAAAAACCCATTTCTACTTAAATCATGTAGCTAGGTATTGTCAAACTATTACTGCTTCTAAAAGGAATAATAATTATTGTACATTTAATGTAATCTTTAGCTAATAAATAAATGAGATTCAAAAAAGTGAGGTTAGACCGTTTTCATGTTGAATTAAATTGACCTATATAAAGTGCTTTAAAGATAAAATGTTGTATGCCATTCGGCCAAGAAGTGTCTTTTTGTGCTTCGCTCAATTGTAGGCCTCCGCTACGCGTCGGCCTTCAAACTTTGAGCTTAGCACAAAAAGCCTTACTTCTTAACCTAATGACATAAATAACTATTAACTATTTTATTTCACATAATAGTATATTATGTATCAAGTAAGTAAATAAACGACAAATACTTATTTTTATCTAAAATTGATTTAAATTTAATATTTTTATAGAGCGACATCTATACAAAAAATAAATTGACAAAAAAAATTTTAATTTATTATTTGCCTAACCCAAGACTGGTTAAACAGTGTTTAAATAGATTTATTAAGGGTATATAACAATATGCTAGGAGTACTTAATTCGATATTTTGATAAATGCTAACTAAATGCTATTATCTAAAAACTAACTAAATGCTATTATCAAGAAAGTTTATCGCACATTGGAGAACCTCGGCACGTATTAGCAAGTGCATGCTTAACATTCAGTAAAACAATAAAGTCGGTAATGTCGCATTTTGCAATTGCCAGCCCACTTGGATTAAACCGGCCCCATTTTGGCTGGACGAAGATGTTTAATTATGCGGCTTTATAACTCATCAGGTCCGAGATTGCGCGCAATGTAAACTATCTAAATTGTTTTATTAGGCGGAAAATAGCGTTCGCACCGATTGGATTAAGATCCGGCGATAAGTCTTGGTTTTGTTTAAAGAATGGGTCTACTTTTACACACTTTGTATGGTTTTTTTTTTTACAGTAAAGTAACTATTTAAAAGAAAAACTTATTATAATAAGTTATATAATAAGTTACATACATGTATCTTACAGGTATCTTTGTAGTACTTAAATATCTGAACAAATGTGTTAGTATTATTTGTAAAATAACAAAGTAACAATAGTATATTATGTATCATGTTTGATAAACGCCATTTTATACACGAATTTAATTTAGGCACGAGGGAGCTTGCGAGCGAGTGCCTAAATTAATGAGTGTATAGAAAAGTTTATAAACGAGGTGCATACTATACTTTTTCTACGACAAATACTTATTATTATCTTAAAATGATTTAAATAAAATATTTGTATAGAGCGCCATCTATGAAACAATAGGGGAATCTGTGTGTCACCGTCAAATGTCAAATTTTTATTTTTATAAACACAGATTATAAAGGTTGTAAATTGAAATGTATTTCTTGAAAACTGACAGTTTTTCACAGTGAAAGTAAAGAAAATGTTTTATGAGCACTTTACAGTGGAGTCCGTGCACGAATTTAAGTTATAGTTTACTGCCGGCGAAACTAAAAGGTCAGTACAATGTTCATATAAACTTTTTAAATATTGGCGTTGAGAAACTATTTAATAATTTTGTATTTTTGTATTGAGATAATGAAATAATTTTCACATTTAGTATTATTTTACAAGAACGCGATAGGTTGCTTAGTGAAATAGTCCTGGAATATAAATGACTTCCTTCCTTGAAATAACAACTCATGTTAGTGAATTGGCCTGATTATCTTTTAACGTTTACAACAATTTTTGCTTTAACTTTGATATAGACAATAATGGTCCATTATACTACAAAAACACTTTCTATTCTTGCAATCGACAATAGATCGTTTGTTTAATAACAAAGGGTATATAAACGCCCCCGTATTTTTATCGAAAGTTTTCAGTTCAATTAACAACCTTTATTTGCAAACTCGAATTCGTGATTTGCATTTAAGTTTTTTTATTATTCCCGTCCGATTCCATGTATTCGACTCCAGGCACGGCTTTGAATAAAAATGCGTAAAACATAATTGAGAACGACACTTCGATTTGTTGACATTAGGACGCTTGCCGCTTTTCAATACCCGATTAACAGGGTGGA